AGTAAATAAATAAAACTTAATGAGTCTGTACGTGTAAAATACAAAAACAGACAGATAATATCACTCACTCACTTTGCACCCACACACTCACTCGTGCACTCAGGCGTGTTGATAACAGTTGAAAAGTAAATAAAATAAAATAAAAGATGTAATTAAATTATATACATATAAGGAATTTATACTTAAGTTTGTTGTGGAAGAGCTGGGAACCCTGACACAGGTATTTCTTACTTAAAAGGGTTCCCAAATCTTACACAATGTAATGCATATGTACCTACTTAAAATGAATAAACAGATTTTTATTTTTTATTATTATTATATATATAAATATTGAATATTTATATATATAATAATATCATATCATATCATATAGATACAATACAACCTTCTATTGATACAAAGAACGTACATTACAAATTTTCTTTCATTCTCTACGTGCACGAAACCGGGTAGAGTTGTAATTGTTTATATGCAAACAATGTTTATCATACACAGGCGAGCGCTCTCAGAAACGCATACTATTTATGCAGCGCAGTGCTGCAAAAATATTTACCCAGTTGTATTGTAATACACGTGGTATTTGATTTTAATAAGGATTACTGTGGGATAAAAGCTATTCCATTTACATAAAATCCTTGTGATTATAACTATATAAGAGACACGTAATAATAAATGATTGTATAATAATGTCACCAGTCGGTACCCACATCATCCAATTATATTGCTTTGAATATTTAAACTTTAGAAGTTAATTTTATTCCTCAGCATAATATTATTATTTTAGCGACACTTCGAAGGACAGAAAATAGTTACCTATTAATACTTTTTGATTTTAGAAATTTCAGTTTATTTTTAATAGAGTAATAAAAAAGAATACCATTATATATATAATATATAGGGTGGTCAAAATAGGATAGATGAGGTCATCAGCTGCAAAAAATTGTTCTGCGGGAGGTCTCTAAGCTCAACCCCTGCAGAGTTATAATTTATTTTGCGTTTTATAAGAAAATTGACTTTTTTTAACTAATTCTTATTAAAATTTGAAAAAATCTACATGCTGTATCTTTTTAATAATATCCACTAGATTGGTACTGATGAGTTCTTGCGTTAGACATACTATTTATAGTTGTTTATTGAGTGTATTGAAGATAATATTAAGTTATACGATATAATTTTTTTTCAAATCAAAACTCTTTGTTTACTTCGTACCCCACTGTGAAAAAAAATTACTCTACCGAAAAGAGTTTAAGTTTTGGCACATTTTATAGGGATTCTGAAAAGGTATTACAAGTAGGCAGTAGCCATGAGTGGCTCTTTTTCTCTATACACGCATTCGTGTTCTATAAAAGGGACCAAATAAAGTATAACCATATTTTTGGTTAGTAGTTGGTAGTGTTGCTTTAAGATAAAATCAACTTTATAGCTGAGAACAATTCTAAAAACCTTTTACCAAATGCAATCTGCTCAAATGATTACCTAATTGTACTATTTTAACACCACCAAGAGCTCAGACTAGGTTTCGGTTGGTATTTTTTATCCCCTCCGTTAAGGAACTCACTCCCTGCGTCTGATTTTCCGGATTACAATAAACTTCAAAACAAAAGCAAATAGGCATCTACACCTTTTATCAAGTGTGATACAGTGCTAAGTTTAATAAAATAATAAAAACATTCAGTATATTAGCTAGTTATTTAATCCCTTTTAGAAGAAAATATGTTTCTTAAGCGTATATTAAAAGTTGCCTAGACCAGTCAAAGCTGTCATAATTTCAAGTCGAGCTTTTAATCAAACTTCTTCCGTATAATTTCCTGCATCGGAAATATTCTAGCTCGCGGTAGAAAGGATAGATTAGAACGTTCGAAATTTCAATAACTTTTTATAAAGCATTAAATATCGGGTTGATATTTCAAACACCAGTATTTGTGGATAGCGTAGAGATTCCAAATTTGATATACGTTAAAAAACAAATTTTAGGACGGTAAGGTGGTTGGTAGGTGTTCAAATTGTTTTAGTGACAGGAAACATTCAAAAAAATATGTAATTTTTAAGAGAGATTTTTAAGACTTTTTAACTCCCTCAAAATCCTAAAGTATAACAATTATTTAAACAATATTTTCTACTAAGGATCCTTGTAGTACGAGATCCGACTGTAGGATTAGTGCGCTCATCTGTTATTTGCAAAAAAAATTATGTATATTTATACATTTAAATAATGCTTTTAAAAAATCACTGGTACCGTTACCTCCCTGGCCGCACTTCTTCGTAGCCAGGTGTAAAAAGGTATGATTTCGATACATTTATACGTTATGAACGTATAAATGTATTGAAATCGTACATTTATTAAGTATATATCAAATTGAAGCTAAATTTTTTTCTATTAATTATCGTATATGGGTGCCTAGTTAAATCTGGCCGCAAATAAGAGTTACCTGCTGTTGGCTCTAATTAAAAAATACACAAAAACAAAATGTTTAATCTAGGACTATATATAGAATTTAGTGACTGAGTATTACAATTATTTATCGTCTATGTTTTCTTCGTCTCAGACTAAGTATGACACAGACTATGATATTGCCACTAACATAAAACTCCTTTAGATAGAATACTAAAGAGTAAAGCGCGTCGTAGGTTTATAAAAGCCCTTTGCGCAATTTGTTTAGACAATTTAATAGGCCTCAATCAAAGTTTCGACAGTGATTTCATTAAACTTTCCAAATCGATAACTTCTATACCCTCTTAAGAAATTGTTTCACTATTTTGTGAAGGGCTAAAAATTAGGGCTAAGCTCAAAGCTCAACTTTCTTCACCAATAAAAATTACATTTTTCTTATATTGTCAATATATTAAGCTATTCTTAGAAATCAGAAGCTGTAGATATTAAAAAAAAACAAAGCACACTCAAATTCAAAATATCTTTATTCATGTTGGTAAATTTACATTTACTACCAGTTCGCAAGGCAAGGGCGTAGAGCGGGTAAGAAGAACTGGCAAGAAACTTTCCGCCTTTTTAATCGCCAAGTATTTTCATACAAAGCACTTAACCAATCTAGGAAGCTTTATTCCTACAAAATGATTTTATTTAACTCCGTCACGTCCGAGAGCCAAACGTAGAATACCCCCAGTCCGGTTTGCTGGGTGGGGATTGTTCTCAAAGACTATATTATTAGCAAAACAATTTGAACGAAAATTGGACTGTAGGTATTTCGACGCTATTCATTAAAAAATTTAAAATACTGTAAGCACGTACTTACCTGGTAAGGGCGACAACATCGCACCATTCAAAATGTCACGCTTTACATCATGCCAATGACCAAGTTTGACAATAATACCACTACTTCAGAACATTGCAATATCAGTTACGACTAGTCTGAACTGTCACTCAAATCTCTTATAAGATAAGAGCTGTATAAGAAATTGGTCCCATGTGACAGGACTCAAGACGTGATTGTTAAACGAATTGGAATACGGGCCCTAGTTGGCTAATAATTAAGATATACATATCGCTATACGCGATAAACATAGGTTTGTAATGTTATTTTCACCGTCACGCGACAACAGTAAGCTTGATGTGATTCTTGCATATTTGCGTCTCGCAGAAACTTGTTATGATTTGTAATCTCACATAAAGAAAAGTCTTTGATACTATAAAATGAAGTCCTCTGACCGCATCTACCTGTCTATATAAACGCGATAAACTCAAAACCTATCGGCAGATTTTAGTAAGTATTGTATTTTTAGATGTACGGGTCGAGCTTCACTAATGACAGATAACAGATGGTGATTCTTCCAGAAAGATTAAGTGTATAATATTATTATGTAAATTGTATAAACTATTCGACGTTTATTTAATAATTTAATTAGCCGTTAACTCTATATAAAGACCTGGTGATTTATTCGGACCGTTTCTATTAGAAGGTAAATTTGCAATTCTCTATTATTCATATCCTTAGTTCGCGTAGTTCATTCATACGCTATCCCGTTGATTAGTTTGTACTAGTTTGTGTTTAGTCTAGTTTAGTGTATTACAAATAATACAGTGTTGTTCAATTAATGAAGTGGCTGCAGTGTTTTGTAAATGTTAACATATTGCAAATGTCCACTTTGACAAATTAGGCACTAAAATTATCTTTGCTTTTACGAACCTTACCCGCGTACCGCGAGTTATCTAATATATATATATATATAACATAGTTTTAACAATTTAATTTATGTTAAGATATTCCTTCATTATGTAATTATTGTTAACCTTATAATAACCTACTGAAGGAATTATTGGAGTGTAGTATCTTAATTCGTATGTTCATTTCAAGCTTAGAAAATAATAATATACAGTGTAGAAGAATTTGAGTAAAAATAATATATTCTGATTACAAGTACAATAGACTCTGTAAGGCTACAATAAAAATTGTGGTAAACACTTCATTAACGGTAATGTACACAATAAATATCAAAGATTAAGAATCTTCACGTTTTAACTACTGAGATTGTGATTTGGCAACATGTTAAGTGTAAAATGCAGAAAAAAGACTATGCAATAAGTGTGACTCCGGTTACCCCGTACGTCAAAAATGTATTGGATTTTGACGTACTGGAGTTATAGTTGAGTCTAATGTTTAGTGTACAAACGCCCTCTAGGGTGAGAAAAAAAGGATACTTATAACTAAAGTATTAACCACACCGAAACGTAAATAAAGAAATCTAAAAATAACTGCATTTATAAATTGTTCAACTTGTGATTGATTGAATTCTATCCACAACAATATAAGCATATAAAATAACTCATAAATTTATTATAATGACTGTTGACATTTTCGGGCATTGATATTTGATGGACTTTGACTTCACCAATGAAAATTGACATTAAACATTTTGGTGAAAGACTTAAACACGCAAGTCAGAATAGAATTCAGAATTTCAGAAATACAGAAAATTTAAAACCTTAAGGGTTATCATCAGTAATTTTAAAACACTAAGAAAAATAATAATTGTTTCCTCCTAGAATGTCTTTTCTAATTAGGCAATATGTTCGAAGGGTTAGTATAACAATAATTTCATTTTCTATCGGAAACTTAAAAATGAAGTCTATTTCATAACAATTGTTTTCGTAGGTTTTAACGCCGGCAATTACCATATCAAAAAACTTCTCAACGAGTGAGTAAATTGTATAATGTTTAGTGGTTATGTATATTAGGGTACTATATAAAAAATTTGCATGTTTTTGTTGTAACTGTCTGTGCCTTTTTGACCTTTTATACTATCGTTAATTATTGCAAATAATTATGAAAAATAATTGTTACCATAGTCTCCTAATTTACATTTTACTACAGTAATTTAATTTAGTCACACTACACTGTTTTTCACAACTTTAAACCTAGCACTTAAGCAGCTGTATAGCAAGATTTATACAAATTTTTTGTGTAATCCTACAAAACCCCTAAATCTGTACCACTATCAAAGTGCCAAGTTGTCAAAAAGTATTTGTTTCTGATTCAAGGTGGCCATATTTTACCGGTTAATAAAAGTGTGTGTGTTTATTACTAGTACATTAATTGACACTCTTATTTATTTAATGGTCTATTTCACTCTCATATTTACCACAAGACTTTATTATTTAGCCTCTTAGGTAAAATCTAGGTGTGATATTAAAGAATAATAAAAATAATATAATATATATATAATAAAGCTTTTAATTCATAAATGTTTTTCTTAATATTTAATGGATTATTTTAATACCAGTTAAAATTAAACTAAATTTCAGCTGCAATTTGTGCATTTACCCCAAAAGTCCAAAAGCCAGCTCCTGATTTTGCAGCAACAGCTGTTGTTAATGGAGAATTCAATCAACTAAAACTTGCTGATTTCTCTGGGAAATATGTTGTCCTGGTATTTTATCCATTAGATTTGTGAGTATTCTTTGTTTTTAACATTTGTGACCTAGGACTGCGTTGGTTGCAAAGATATTATTTTAACCTAGTAGTCTGATGTTTGTTCCGATGTGGAAGGAACAGAGGGCCACTGAAAATTTAGTACAAGATGTTTCTGCTGCATAGGGGATTAAGAGTTTGGTTAGCTATATTTAGTCTATAATAAATATATATTAATTATCAGACATGGACTAAATTATTATTAAAATTAAATCATATTTTTGCCAGTTTTTATTATTTTTTGAATAAAATTATTTCATTTAACATTGTAATTTTTAAACACAAATACTGCATTTGTTATATATTGGTAATATGGGAACTATAATGTCACTTTGTTGAAATTATAAATGTAAAAAGTTCATCTGTTCATTTCTCATTAAGATATTTTTGTTTGACACAATATGCATCTTGCTTTAATTTAAATTTAAATTTTTAGCACATTTGTCTGCCCAACTGAACTGATAGCATTTAGTGACAAAGCAAAAGACTTTGCAAGTATAGACTGTCAAGTTATTGGCGTCTCCACTGACTCAGAATTTAGCCACTTAGCCTGGGTTAACACTCCAAGAAAGGTATTATAATTATTTATAATTGAGACAGACCACAGTTATTTAAAAAAATTCAAGTCAAACTTGCCTTTATCTACCATGGAATCCAAAACTGCTGTTAGATTAGACTCCATAGATTCTTAAAGGCACAGTGCTGCAACAACAACAATTTAATTATTTTTAAATATATTTTGCATGCTAATTGTGCAGTTCTTTGTAACTCATTCAATATTAGACATTCCAGTATCATTAACGATATAAAATATGTTTTATGCAATGAGTAATATCTGAAAATAAAGTTTTAACAATTTATTATATTGTTTTCAGGATGGTGGATTAGGAAAAATGAATATACCACTATTAGCTGATTACAAAAAGAAAATATCTCAAGACTATGATGTTCTTTTAGATGACGGCTTTGCTTTAAGAGGTATGGAACATTGGCCATATCTGACATTGACAATTGACATAGTCAAATACTATTCAACACTAAGTGTTTACATTTAATTCACGTGAGCGGCAATAAGTGACCATGGCTGGCTATTCCACTAAACTTAAGATAATTCCCAGTCTATAAAAACAGTTATAGATTAACAATCAACCACAGTTTTTTACAAACTATACTTTTCTATTCCGACGCCTAAAGTACATAAATTGATTACGAAACATGTGCGTGTTAGAAAGAGATAGAAATATCTTGTGACTTGTGGCTTGAGTAACAACATATAATTTAAAAATGCTTTCTCCACAGGATTGTTTATAATAGATAGGGAGGGTATACTAAGACATATGTCTATCAACGACTTGCCCGTTGGTAGATCAGTAGAAGAGACGCTCCGATTGGTCAAAGCTTTCCAGTTTGCAGATAAACATGGTGAAGGTAAATTTATATGATATTAATGAATAGCCATTGAGGCTCATATATGTGATATGTGGTAAATTTAAAAATATTCAGCGTAATGCTAATTCAGCGGATAAGCGATTTCGATCGAAATTATTTTGAGAAGAAAAACTTACTCCCTTACTTAACAATTTTAAATATTAATTTTTTTTTTTAATTTATTTCTTCTATAATAAAAAAACGTGGCATTTTACAATTCGTCATTTGAGATTTCAATAAATTATTTTTCATAAAATACTAATATTTCATAAATTCTCCTTATGGTAGGGGAGCCCAAGAGGGGATTTCGGGATTTACTAAAGCGCGGCAGATTAATATATAGGGGGATACCTTGTACCCGGTTAAGTACCTCCACAAAATATGAGGCCCATATATAAGGCCGCCCGTGAAGGAGACAGGATCAGATTAGTAAAAAAAAATTGACCATCAGAAATTCCCGAGCGCGTCAGATTAAGGTAGGGTGAGTTAATTACATCCTAAAAAGTGTATATTCCACTAATCTGACAATTTGAGAGTGACGGAAAAAAAGGGGAGGGCAACAAAGTTGTAAAAAAAAAACGTCATCTCGACATTCTCGAGCGTAGCTAATTTTTATTTTATTTTGAAGGAAATAATTCAAGAATGATGAAAAATATATAATCTGACGATTTCCGCAAGCCGATATAACAAAAATTCGTCGATAAAGTTAAATGCGTGCAGCTGCGTGATGCCTACATTTCCTTAAACCGATCGGAATCTACTAAACGGCGTTCTAAATATTTCCCTAAAAATTACATTTCCTGTGAATTTGAACCGATTCGGACCGATAGATTTTGAGAAATTTTGAAAAATCTTAAAAAAATAAGAAATATTTTTTTTTAAGTGGTTTCTTTATCGATCAACTTCAAAAACTAATCCGCCTTTGAGCTTGAAAAACCACGTCGATCGCCACCAAGCTGGTCAAAAGCGGTTGATTAGTTCGAGAGATATCGTGAACGAAAGAAACCCGAAAAAGTGTTTTTTCGGGATTACTCCGAAATTTGTGGTTCGATCAATTACAATTGCAAAATTACTTATGATGATGATAACACTGCGTCGAATGCCGCCAACCGCGTGAAAATTGCTTGATCCATTCAAAAGTTATTGCGGTTTGAAAATTCCAAAAATAGTGTTCTATGAAACTTCTATCAGACTTTCGAGCTGGGAGAGCTCAAATGCATAGAAATGTTATTTCTTTGAACTCAGCGAGCTCAAAATATCAATTTTAAGCGCCCAGGAATGGAATTAGCGGGAAGTTGCAGGGATGGCCCTTTAGGTGAACCGTTTTTCTAAATTTTTTTTGTCAGATCAGGCGAATCCCTCTAGATAATCGTCAGATTATGAGACAGTACGTTTAGAACATAAAGATGAACCACATATATCTTAAACTGACGCGCTTGAGTATTTCAAAATTGCGATTTTTTTTTGCATATTATGAAAATGGCCGTGGGTTTGCGTCCCATCGAAATCGTCAGATTAGTGAATGAGAGCTTTTTTTTGGTGCACTTAACACTCCCTTAGAAAATCTGACGCGCTCGATAATTTTTTTTTTTTCATTTTCAACCCTTAAATACAACCACCCGCATCATGCAAACGATCAGATTAACATACGTACATTATTAAAAATACGTAGGGCATTGATGCTATCAATATCTGACGCGCTCGAGGATGTCCATGCAACAGTTTTTTTTTACATATTTAACAATCTATAGGCGCTTCCCCCACCGATGAAAAGGAATTTATCATATAACATTTTTTTCTTCTTATTATCTAAGCTTTGCATCCCAATAGGTCTCTACGACGCTCGAGTAAATCCCCATTTAGCATCGTGGGCTCCCCTACCATTACGAAATTTTAATTTTAAAAATAGAATTTCTATAAAGTAATTCGCCCTTCTCACTCTCTCTCAATCGCTCTCACCCTTTTCTTCGACAAAAACGCTGCATCTTCGTGACGATTTATCCGTAAAAATTTTACCCTCATACACCTAAAAAAGTTTCACTTCAAAAAGAAGATATTAATTATACATGTGTATTGTGTGTATTTTACGACAGTCTGTATACACGTTTGAATTCAAAAAATCTTGTATTTTTCAGTTTGTCCTGCCAATTGGAACCCAGAGAGCAACGCGGACACAATTAAACCGAACCCTAAAGAAAGCAAAGAATACTTCCAGAATGCTAATTAGATTTTACAACATGTTTAAATAGTATTATCAAATACATGTTTTACATTAACTGTTTTTGTTATATTACACTTAGGGTCTGTTTCACAATGTATGGATAAAGTATCAAATAGCTATGCAACACATAAATTATTTTGAAGATAAAATGTGTTATTTGCCACTTCATCGGACTCATAACTTATGATGGACTTTATGTGACGAATAGCGCTATCTGACAGTCGTGAAACGCAACAATAGTATTTATCCTACCAATAAGTAATAAATAGCTAATTTGGAACTTATGTAGAACTTATCCGTATATTGTGAAACAGACCCTTAACCATCATAACCTTCATTGAAGCTATATAATATAAGAACTGGTGGAAGTTTTAGTTCAAAACAAGATGACCTTGGGTAAAATCGCCGTTTGTGCTGAAATTTTGCAAGCACATCGACAATTGGTCTTACGGTCTCCGTTTTCAAGTTTCATACCACGAAGTAGTCTACGTCCCGCCCAAACGAAAGTGCACGAAGAATCTTATCAGCTAATTGGGTCGATGATTGAGGACGGTAGTATGGTGTTCCATTTTGGAATTCTTAGAATTTTGGCCAAAACTTAAATTATTTTGAGTAAGTGGCGCAACGCTGAAAAATTGTGAGTATGGTTTTGAACTTCCATCAGGATATAGGAAGAATTATGAAATCTAGAACGCCAACGGCCTGGCTAAATGGGGGGCTAGGTAAAAATAAATGTATTAACAAAAGTTGTAATGAACCTAAGCAATTGATAGGGGTAGTAGAAAAAATTAAAATGCTGGGTAACTTTGGTGTTTCTCGTGTGACTGAGCTAAAATTTGATTTCTGTTTGAGCCGTTCAAAAAATCCTTAAATTTGTTCCTTGTTCTGGTTTCGATTTACTGTACAATACAGATGTGAGGATGGAAACTATTAGGGGTGGTTGAAAACAAAAATTATACTGTATCGAGTGCCGTTTTACATGGAACACTCGATTTGACCTACTTGTAAGTACCTATCGTAGGGGCATGAAACTAAGTGGAATCGAAAGAAGAGATGACCATTTGCGGCAATAAAATTTGCCAGTGTATGTCCGGGAGAGATGAAAAATGAAAAGAACTACAGGTATTTTTGATGCGTTATTATGTCCTACCTTTAAGGGATGTGAGCTTTTCCCCAGTAGTTCATGGAAAACGTGGCCCCCAAAGAAACAGAAACATCTAGCAGGCTGCTTGCGATCCAGCGCACCGCTATAAATAAAACTGATTTAACGCGCATGTCAGCTTGTCGTAATTTACATACGTACAATTATTTACAAGTCTGCTATTTGAGATTACATAATATATGTATTATCAAGCATACTGCGTGGTAAAATCCTTTATAGAAGCCGAAAAGAATTATCTATTATCATCCAATAAAATATAAATATATATGTATAGTAAATTAGTGCTTAAGGTCATTATGGTCTAGATAAGATTGCGATATTATGTAAATGAAAATATTGAATGTTGTTCGTCTTAAATATACATGTATATACCACCATACCTACAATTGTTATTAGACGATTATATGAAACGAACGATGGCAAAGTTATTATTTTTACATTAGGCAAATACATTACTAAATTTATTTATTTATTTAAGTTTACCACATCATACCTTGCACTAAATCTACGGTATATGTTACAAACTCTTATTTAAAATGTATGACAATTTAGGTAAACCAAAATGTTTAAAACAAAAGAAAAAAAATACAGTTAAAATATATACAATAATAAAATAAAAATACCAGAAATTTTTGGTAAAGTGAAAAAAAAAATACCAGCAAAACAGCGGATTAGGTTCAAAATAGGCACTTAACAATGCTTTCTTTAAAATCGATCAGCCCACTACCGAATATATCCAGATAAGTACTGTTTAATCCGTTAAAATCGAGAATAATTCGAAAGAGAGGTGCCTGAACTCCAAGGTTGGTTTTTGCAGAAGGAATTTGAAAATTTTCGCTTATTTTAAACCTTGGGAATGAGTAAAGGACGACAATTTTAATGTCATGTAAGAGGTCACTGCTCTGTATAATAAATACATATATGTATTTAGCAATTTATACAAGAACGAACCACCTACTAAAGATCTCCGATAGTACAGTGATATCATATTATCTATCATATCGCTGATGGTACGGGTGTCTATGTGAAAATTTTGTACTAAATTCAGGTGCACTTCTATGAAACGACGGACGTCGAGGTGACCTGACGGTATTTGATATTATCAAACTAGTGCAACAAACGTTTACGACAATTAAGAAAGCGTTCCAAAAACGTGACGTAAAGTCTATTATTTACAGATACCTAAATATTATATAATTTATTTCCCACCATATAGATACATATAAAAATTAAATTAAGATACTCTTTTATCTTGATAAAAAGTATTATATAATACCTGCAATTTTTTTCAACACACAAACGCTCTGATCACAATGTCCTATACATTATTTATTTTCGTGGTATGGTAAGTAACATTTAAAATGTTATTTGTTTCTGCAAACAAATATATTAAAATACAAAATCTATTTAAAAAAGATCTAATAAACTACTTGAATGAATTAAATGAATAGGATTTATTCTTAAGGTGCTCACAATTATTTTATAAGTACCTACATATTTACTTAATTTATGATTAATTAACTAATTGATAAAGAAATTCACTAAAATCATGTTTGAGTAATATAACAGAAATACATAATTAGTGTATTTACAACGCGTTTTTAAAATTCCAGTATTTTTACTACCAGCGGATCATCAGTACAATATGATAAACAAACACAAAATTTGAGAACATTCCCAAGTGACTTCTTTTTCGGAACTGCGACTTCGGCTTATCAAATTGAGGGAGCCTGGAATGAAGGAGGTAGGTTTACAGTACGTTTAAGGTTTTCTGTAATTTTTTACAATATTCCTAAAAATAGATTTAGGTTATCGAACCTTGCAGAACTGTTCTAGAATTAGCGTTGGTAAATAAACAAAAGAAATATAAAACAAATATATAAATTTGTTTAATTCAGGTAAAGGATGGTCAATGTGGGATCACTTGGTACGAACAGACCCTGGTCACATTAGAGACGGCACCACCGGGGATGTTGCAGCCAACTCATACCATTTTTATAAAAAGGACATTGAAATCCTGAAAGAGTTGGGTGTATCCGTTTACAGATTTTCGATAGCATGGACTAGAATATTACCTTACGGCCGTGCAGACTATGTTAACCCTGAAGGAGTAGCATATTACAATAATTTAATAAACGAACTACTGGCAAATGATATCACCCCATTCGTAACAATATACCATTGGGATCTGCCGCAGAACTTGAACGAGCAGGGTGGTTGGTTGACTTCGGAAATAGCCGACTGGTTTGGAGATTACTCCAGGGTTTTATTTGAAAACTTTGGAGACAGGGTGAAGCATTGGATCACGATTAACGAACCCTACATCCATTGCAACTTCGGTTACGCAACTGGGTCTCATGCGCCGAGAATCAAGTCTCCAGGGGTTGGTTTCTACGAATGTGGACGAAATATCATTCTAGCAAATGCGAAAGCTTGGCACATATATGATAAGGAGTTTAGAGCAACCCAAGGAGGAGTGATAGGTATAACATTGGACTCTGAAATGGCTATGCCGGGTTCTAATTCTCCTGATGATATTCAAGGTGCAGCTGATTATATGAGTTTCTATGTACGTTTTTATTTATCCTTCACTTATTAATTACCTTCTAAATATCTTATGACGTTAAGTACCACTCCATAATTTTTTTTAAAGATTATTTATAGGTGAAGTCCAAAATTAAACTAAATGCGCTTAACTATGCCAGTTTGACAGATAAAATGGGTTTTAATCCGGTAAAGACACGTTTAACTATTTCTGTTTTTAGCTCGGACAATACGCAGACCCCATATTTTCCGCGACAGGCAATTACCCTCAAAGAATGATCGATTTAGTCGCAGAAGCAAGCAGACAACAAGGGCTAAATGAATCTCGACTAGTACCATTCACTCAGGAAGAGGCTAACAATAATAAGGGAACTTCAGACTTTTTCGGACTAAACCATTATTCCAGTATCTATGTGTATAGGTAATTTATTTTTTAAGAAAATTTGTTCATGATTAACATTGGCGTGTTACTTATTAAAAACATTGCCAGTATATTTGATAAAATAGAATCTATTAAACTTATTCGTAGCATTGGGCAAATCATGATGTGCTATCCATCTCACAATATGATTGTCTTTCTTATATGATAGGGGCAAACGATTCTACGGAACGCAAAAAAGGGCAGTCATCGCAGCCCATGGACACCCATTATAGTAGGTGCGTTGCCGGCCTTTGACGGAGGAATATATCCGTCGTCGGAAATATTGTAAATAATAAATAATGAAATTGTTTGGCCAGATGAATTAATAGGTTAATAGTTAGGTTAGGTTAGATAGTTTGGTTAGAAATAAACCTATGTATCGCCACTTTCTGATATGGTCAAACATTCGTTATTAAATATAAAAATACATTGCGCCGGAATCCTTTTGTTTTTAAAACATCATAAGGACAGTCAATTAAAATAAAATTTAGTTTTAGTTTTGAAGATAATGTGGCCATACAAATAGACAAAAATGCAAAACTTTTCGTTTCATTTATCTTTTCTAATCGCCATTCTCTCTATCTCTCTCGTTTATTATGTGTTCCTCAATACAATTATTAACTACAGGAATTCTTCTGTAACTGAAATATATACGAAACCTTCTTTTAATGATGACCTCCAAGTAGGAACCTTCCCCGATGCCAATTGGTATATTAACCCGGCTGGATGGACATATGGTAGGAAAGCATATTTCTTAATGACAAAATACGTAACCCCCCCCCCCCCCCCCCTCCCCCCCCCAAAAAAAAAACCCCCCCCCTGAACCCCCCCCCCTCCTTTTTTTTTTTTTTGGCTAATTTCTTTCTTTTTACCCCCCCCCCCCCCCTCCCTTCCCCCCCCTCCCCCCTCCCCCCCCAAATTTTCCTTCTTTTTTTTTCTTCCCTCCCCCTTCCTCCCCTCCCCCCCCCCCCCCCTCCCTCCCCCCCCTCCCCCGCCGCTTTTTTTTTTCCCCCCTTCCTTCCTTCCCCCCCTTTTTTTTTTCTTCTTTTTTTTTTTTTTTTTTTTTTTCTCCCCCCTCCTCCCCCCCCCCCCCCCCCCCCCCCCCCCCCCCCCCTCCCTTTCCCCCCTCCCCCCCCTTCTTTCCCCCTTTTCCCCCCCCCCCCCCCTTTTTTCCCTCCCCCCCCCCCCCCCCCCCCCCCCCCCCCCTTTTTTTTCCCCCCCCCCCCTTTTTTTTTCTTCCCTTTCCTCCTTTTTTTTTTTTTTTTTTTTTTTTTTTTTTTTTTTTTTTTTTTTTATAATTTTTTTTGGGGGTAATTATTTATTGATCTAAACTTAGATTACAAATGGTGACTGCGATGCAAAAATGGGTAGCAATATCATGGATAGGTCAGACATATAAATTTTTTCCGAAATTTATTAAAATTTTTTTTCTCTTTTTTGTTTTTTTTTTTTTTTTTTCTCCCCCCAATTTTTTTTTTTCCCCTTTTTTTTTTTTTTTTTTTTTTTTTTTTTTTTTTTTTTTTTTTTTTTTTTTTTTTTTTTTAAAACAAACATGCAACCCAGACTCCTGATGTAATGAGAGCTTTTACTAAATAGTTCAGGAGTCTGTGAGACTTCCCAATTATATGTACTGTAGCAATATAAAGACATATTGTTTGATTTTTTATAGAATCAATCCTTTAGTCAAAAGCAAAGTCTACTTAACATTAAATAACCCTATTTACCCAATTAATAGGTTTAAATGTAGCTAATTGTAACTTTACTCAACTTCTACGTATAACTGTTTTTCCATATAAAATACAAGAATCTATTAAATTCAAAGAATCGTTATTTCAGAGATACGGCCAAGGATTACGCAAACTGTTAGGATATATTAAGGACACATACAACAACCCTACGGTCTATATTACGGAGAGTGGTTTCGGGACAGCAACTGAGCGGAATGACACTGATAGAGCCGATTATTATAGAGAATATTTAAATGGTGTACTCGACGCTATTGATGATGGCGTTAATGTCAAGGGTTACTGTGCCTGGAGTCTTGTTGATAACTTTGAATGGGCGGTTGGCTACAGGTAACTATCGTACTAGAGGTACATTAATAGGGATGCAGGAAGGGACAGCAGAGATTCAATTGCGTTACGTAGGACAAATACCTTTGTTTTAAGGTGTTTTTTATTAGTAGGTGAAGAACTAATATACTCAAGTTGCAAGTTATCGATACTTCAAGTAGGCCCCCCTCGCCTTATTAATAGGGACATGAGTTGAAAGTGTACATTGACGAATTGATAAAGTGAATCAATTATTACTTTCGTCATCAAATCTTATAGTACCAGTCAAAAAATAATTTTTCAATTTATATGGCCCGAAACAAATACATATTAAGATTATTGGACTTCGCAAGGATAGGTAAAAACTTCTATACACAAATATCAGGGTTAATTTATTCTAATTATTCGAAAAATACTTCGCTGATAACAGCTTTCATCCATTTCAGCGTACGTTTTGGGCTTTATGAAATCGACCAGAATGATCCAGAGAAGACAAGGAAACCCAAATACTCGGCACTTGTTTACAAAGAGATCGTTCGCACAAGAACTGTAGATCCATCATACAACCCAGACCTTCCGACAGATGCGTCAATAAATATAAAAAGTTCATACCTATTTGTATTAGTTGTAGCAGTTTTGAATATTATTTGGTAGGTAAATTATTATGTGCAAAACAACTATGTGTGGCAAGCACTATATTAGTAAATAAAATTATGAGGCAATTTCTTTAATTGACCCAAGAACATTAACTGAGGCCATTTAACCAAAATATGTTTTATATGCATATTGTTAGTTGCTATGCATATTAGAAAATCTGGTATTCATTTTGTTATAACAAATAATTATAAAATATGATTATACAATAAGTTTAAAATATATACAATTTATTTATTTTGAAGCTGAATTATGTAAATATTTAAGCAGAATCTTGTTATTTGAAAGTGAAATAATAAAAGGAGTTTTTTTTTAAATATGAGCTTTATTTTATTTTTTTGATCGGATAGTAAACGCCGTGGATCTCTTCAAGGGTTTATTTTTAAATAAATCTACGAGGATTTTGTTTCACTATAAAAACACAAATTACGCACAGAAATACACTAATTACCACACACAAAATACGGTCACTAGTTACTTCAATTACGCGCCATTCACACAGTACTTTATCACTTGTCCTCACTATTCGCACTATATCACTTCGGTGTTAGTCTCTTGGTATCGCACTGAAACTGAATTAATTGGTCGCGTTTCGGCTCGCTTATATATCCCTGGGAATAATCTTAAACGATATTCGACTCTCTAGGCAGTATATTGAGAGCACTGAATAGCGTTTTCACAATTCAATTCGGTCTAAAATTTTCCTTCATCAAAGGGGTATAACTGGTCCTGAAAACGCCTTAAAACGAGTTTCCTGAAAACTGTACCACTGGACTAAACATGTTCTAAATCTGCCTGTTTCAGCCTCCTGAAAACGATGGTAAGATTATGTAAATTAAAATTTTCTAATATGTGATAGAGCCTCTCCTGAAACGACCATAAATCACATTTCCGCTTACTGAAATCATCTCTTACTTGTGACAAAATCGAAAAACATTTCAGTCAACCCGTCTTCGTAATAATGTTTTATGTCAACAAGTGTAAAAAATAATAAAAACCATTGTTTGTATTTTAAATTTAATTCTAAGTAAAACATAAAAATACATTGTTTAGTAGTAAAATAGTAATTGCTATGAGATTATAATGCTAATCAGTCCTTATCACAAATTTATCTTGTATTGACAATAATTCTGATGGATCACTACTGGAAGATGAATCATCATCAGAATCAAGATCTGATGAATCTGAGGAATTTCTACTAGATGATGAACTATCGCTATAAAACACTGCATTTACCTTTGATTTAGGTAATAGAGACATTGAGGCCATTTTTAAAGCCATTTCATTCTCTGTGACTTGTGCTTCCTCTTGACATACCATTTCTGCAGCTGCCTCTAATTCATCTAATTCTAAAGACAAATCTGCTTTACCCATTACATTATGACACAGTTCTATTAGTTCTTCAGACCTACACTTTTCTAGAAATATGAAATACATAACATGTAGTCATTAATGTACAACTGATTAAGGATGTACACCATGTTTATACATTATTACTTGTATAAACATAGGTTATTTAAAATAATTATTTTCTACAGGGTGGCCAAAAAGTCGTGGATCAAACGCAAATAGGGGATAGATGAGGTCATCAGCGGCAAAAAATTGTTCTACGGGAGGTCTCTAAGGTCAACCCCTGCAGAGTTATGATTTATTTTGGTTTTATATGAAAATTGACTTTTTTTTACTAATTCTTCTTAAAATTCGAAAATATCTACATCCTGTATCTTTCTCATAATATCCACTAGATTGGTACTGATGAGTTCTTGCGTTCGACATACTATTTATAGTTGTTTATTGAGTGTATTCAAGATAATATTAAGTGATACGATATAACATTTTTTCAAATCATAAATTTTTCTTTACTTTGGACCCCACTGTGAAAAAAAATTACTCCACCGAAAAGTGTCCCTGTACTACAAGTTTTGGCGCATTTAATAGGGATTCTGAAAAGGTATTACACGTGGCCATGAGTCGCTCTAGTTTCACCCCGGGAGCATAGCCAGACGCCGGCACTCTCTCTGTTTGTTAGATTGCACTCATTATATAGCAGTTAACATACAGGTAAATTAGCTTGGAGAAATTTTTGCGTTTGTAGTAGTGTATGGTCAGCAAAAAAAAAAACAACATTTTATTTTTAGTTTTTATTTTTTAAAGGTAATATACGTTTGTGGCTGGAGCACACCAAATGGTACACGTCTACCATACCACTACGTACTAATACGGACGTGAAAATGTGTATCCACTGCATTGTAATCTATGGAACTGTATGAGGCAGATAAGCCAGTTCCAAATATTACAAGCAGTGAATGCCGGTTTTCACTTCAGTGAAGACGTGTATGAATTAGGTGTTCTCCGGCCATAAATGTTTTATTCTAATAATTCATCAACCCAGGCATATCACAATATCCCCATCCTCCTTTCATCAGATGAATTATTTAAATTAATTATGATTCGTTCTGATATTGTGTCTAAAGCTCGTCTCTACCCTGATATTTGTTTTCCTCCTCAATAGTGCAGACAAACTTTTCTCCATTCCTCTACAGTTATGGCGTTCATTTTTCTTCAGCTAATGACATTATAACCTTCATATTATTCGACTTCTTTTTGCGACATATGTTTTCACTATCCCCAATTTTTCTAAGGATTAAACTCCGGATGGTATGGTGGTAAACGCAGCACAGTATGACCGTGCTTCGTAATATTTCGTCTATCTTGTACTCTACAAATCTCGCCTTGTTTTGCAGAATCAGTTCATATAATTGAGGCTTAAGCAACGTGGATGAATGTCAATGTTTCGCAATGTCACAGTCAATCATTTGCTGTTTTCTAGAATTACTATTCGGTGAGGATTTTGTATTGAGTTATGAATGGTGCGTTGTCAACAACAACAACACTATTTGGTTGTAAGTTGGGTATTAATTGAGTTTGAATCCACCTTGAATAGTTGTCATAGTTCATTTGTCGTGGTAATCTCCACTTTTTGGTTGGCTTTAAACATAAGCAATGCATTTGGTATAAAGCATCCAACCACCGGCATGAACAATGATTAAGCGGTTGCCTTTCGATATATGTTGCTTCAAACCTGAAGTGCTTCCATCTGACCAAGATTTCGAGAGGGTATGTGATGTATGTATATATGTTTCGTCGGTGTAAACAATTGGTCGGCGTTGTTCACGATATTCAGCAATTTTCATCAAATAATTAATTCGCAAGTATCTAATTTCGTGTTTTTCCATAAGAAGTTTCCGGTTATCTTCTGTTTGCTTCCAATTAAAACCTAATGACATGACGTGTTTTCGTAACGTGCTGACACAACCTTTATAATCGATATTTCTTTTAATTTTGCGTGCAAAGTTTTCAAAGTGGGAATTTCTTATTTGTGATGTGGAAGTCATGAATTGTTCTTCTGATAACTTGCTGATCAAAGTTATCGATTACTATTGTAGGTTTACGATTCGGTTTCTTTTAGGAGATTTAAATGTTACTTCCTGATCTGAAGGTCGACATTTGCTTTCTGATACTACCTTTCTGACGGATGCTATTGAAATTCCCGTTGATTTACAAATTAGTGGGAGTCATAATACTGCTCGGGTTGTTATTACACTCATTCGAAATATTTGTACAAACAGTACAAAACTTCTTTAGTTTGAGAAGTCAAAGGCTTGCCTCGACCATGTTTAACACTGGAGCCATTTTAATTAACAATATAAAGTTGCAACACTTACACCAAATTAAAACTTCAACAAATATTATAACAATAATAACAAACAATAACAACAATCAACAAATACAAAATTTAACAATTAACGTAATAATTATAATTTTTGAATGAAATTGTGCTTTATGTTCTAACAGTACCAAGCGACTGACGCCGGATCACGTGGCACCTGCGGACAGCGTAAACTGGTTTATTCTGGTTTTGTGCGTGTTTCCACTTTCCACTATCAAGTGACGATTTTTGCTAGATTGAAATATCTCGGAAACGGTGCGTCCTAGGCAAAAATAAATTTTGACCCCCCGTAGACCCCCGGAGTTTTAAAAACCTAGATGAAAGGAAAAAAATATATATCGGTCTCTCCTCTTTGAAGTTTCACTTCTATCGTGTGTGAATCGCGCACACTTTTTATAAAGTCAAAACCTTTTTTTAAATAAAAACTTGTTTTTATTGATAACAAAAATCAGAGTGTTCAGGGATAAGTATAATATTAAATAGTAATGTTAGGATATCGAAACATTTTTGTATAGGCCAGAACGATATAGTGGAACGCTCTAAGATCTGAGTATTACACACCACTACATATGCAAATTTCTCGAGACTAATTTCACTGTAATTATTATTTCGCTCATATTCTATTGTATTAGGCGCGTGATAAATATAGAGTAAGTTAAAATTATTCTATTATTTCGAACCCCTGATGATCCAGGAACCGTACATTTTGTGGTGCTTCTAACAAAGGCTTAGACAATACTAAGCTGCTATTTAAGTTTTTATTCTTCTTATAAGAAATGGATGAAGACAAGTTTTCTTTATCTTCTGTTTCTTGCTTTATTTGTAAGCATTTCATGCTTTTGATACGCACTTTAACACGACAGCCTTGGCTCGTACAAGATATTTCGGCGCTATTCATTAAAGTATTGTAAGCATGTTACCTGGTAAGCGCGACAACATCGCATCATTCAATATACCAACGCTTAACATTATAGTAACAGCAAAATTAGTATAAAACAACACTCATAACTGACCAAGTTTGACAAGGTACTAAATTTAATAAAATACCACTACATCAAAATGTTGCGAGTTCCGTTACGCCTAGTGTCTCAACCGACACTGAAATCTCTTACAAGATAAGAGCTGTATAATAAATTTGTCCCATATGACAGGACTCGAAGACGTTGTTAAATGAATTGAAATACGGGCCTTTGTTGGCTCATCATTACGATATACATATCGCGATAAACATAGGTATATAATGTTATTTTCGCCGTCACGCGACAATATTGAACTAGATGTGTTTCTTGCATATGCGACTTACAGAAACTTGTAATGATTATTCATTAATTTGTAATCTCACAACGATTACAATCATTACATATTACACACACTCACATAAAGACAAGTCTTTGATATTATAAAATATTGTCCCCTGGCCGCATCTACCTGTCTATGTGAACGGGATTAACTCATAACGTATCGAACAGTTTTGTGGTATAATATTTTAGTATTGTTTTTGTAGATGCACGGCTGGGAACGAAACTCGATTGATCGAAAGTCTTCGAAAGCATTTCAATAATGAACAGGTTCATGGGAAATGTGGCCCCAAAACCCCCTAAAGAAACATCTCGCAGCGCACCGCGCAATTACGACATATTAAGGAATTAGCTGAGAACAGAAAGTATTAGGCTAACTGTTTGAAATCAGTCGTTTAGGGAAACTGATCCTTTCTCCTGATTCAAGGGTAATGTGGCCCTTAATCACCTACACCATAATTTCGCACCGCTATAAATAAAACTAACTTAATATACGAACGAATTAACGACTATATAATAAAACTTAAGCGTTTGTCTCTGTCTGTCTTACCGTCTTAAGTCTGTTTAGTGACAGGCGTTAATCTCAGGCATTTATATGAATAGTTGATTCGCTGGGAATTTATTTATACTTTAAAAATCTATGTCGCGGTTGTTAAATTTTCATACGTTGCGCGAGAAATTATTTATCGTCTGTTTTTATAGATAATCTGTATTATCAAGCATACTGTGTGGTAAAATCCTTTATTTAAGCCGAAAATAAATATATTTTATTATCCAATAAATATATATTGATGTCTAGTAAATGGTGCTTAAGGTCATTATGGTCTAGATAAGATTGCGATATTATGTAAATGATTTTTTTTAATGTTGTTCATCTTAAAGAAATATACCTACAATTATTGTGTGACGTTTATATTAAACGAAAACAAAGTGATTTGCAAACACATTATAAAATTTAGGTGCACTTCAATGAATTCCATTACTAAGGAATGTCTCATCGTTAAATCAAGATGTCTTGATTCTAAGGTAAGGGTTAAGCGTGTAGGTTAAGACATTTATATTCATACTAGCAGACTCGGCCAAGCGTTGCTGTGGCTAAGGTTTCTGTTATATTACATAGTAGTAAACTATTTAAGCGAAGCGGTAGGAGAACACCAATCATGAGGACCACCATGGTTTTTTGGTGGTTATGCCATTAAATTGTAGCTTATTTAAAACGTTGCTACTTTCTACACAGCGCAATCGGTTAGAATTGAGACTGTCAAATAGTAATCAAATAATTTGCAATAAAATAATTTAGCATATATTATATATAGGTATAAATTAAGATGTAAGCTATCCTATCTTTTAAGTTAGATCAAACTGCACACGATGTGCAAGTTTGATTTAAATCTAAGTAGTTTAGTAGTCCATAGCGGACAAACAACGTGACGCCTAATTTATATATATGTATTAAGATTATCCAACTACAAATGATGACAACGATTAAGAAAGCGTTCCAAGTCACGTTGACTTAGAGTTTATTATTTAAATTGCAAACAAATCCCTAAATATTAAATAATTTATTACCCTCCATTTAGATAGAAACAAATAAAAATTTAACTAAGATACTGTTTTATCTTGATAAAAATATTATATATTTCCTGCAATTTCTTTCAACACAGAAACGTTCCGATCACAATGTTCTATAAATTATTTATTTTCGTGGTATGGTAAGTAACATTTAAAATGTTATTTATTTCTGCAAACAAATATATTAAAAAGATAATCTATTTGAGAAAATATCTCAGAAACTACGTTTTTTATGTAAATTAATAGGATTTTTTCTTAAGGTGCTCACAATTTTATACATACATATTTATTTATTTATAGATTTATAAACTGATAAAGAATGATAAAGTTATTCACTCAAATTATATTTGAGCAATATTACAGAAATACATTATTAGTGTATTTACAACGCGTTTTTAAAATTCCAGTATTTTTACTACCAGTGGATCATCAGTACAATATGATAAACAAACACAAAATTTGAGAACATTCCCAAGTGACTTCTTTTTCGGAACTGCGACTTCGGCTTATCAAATTGAGGGAGCCTGGAATGAAGGAGGTAGGTTTAATTAAGTGTATCAAAATCTTTCTATAAACATTCCCTTATTTATAAACGTACCAATAGGTCTTAAATAGCTGCTCAATGTTTTGTCCTGATGGCTGATGCCAATTTAAAAATAAATTATCTTGACACAACATTCGTTACCTAAATCATGTACGGTTTTCTGTATTTTTTTTTTTTTGAAATAGATTAAGTTTATCCACACGCTAAGTACCTTGCAGAACTGTACTTAAATTAGCGCCGGTAAATAAAAAAAATCACCGAAAAATTAAAAAGTATAAACTTGTTCAATTCAGGTAAAGGATGGTCAATGTGGGATCACTTGGTAAGAACAGACCCTGATCATGTTAGTGACGGCACCAACGGGGATGTTGCAGCCAACTCATACCATTTTTATAAGAAGGACGTTGAAATCCTCAAAGAATTGGGTGTATCCGTTTACAGATTTTCGATAGCATGGCCTAGAATATTACCTTACGGCCGTGCAGATTATGTTAACCCTGAAGGAGTAGCATATTACAATAACTTAATAAACGAACTACTGGCAAATGATATCACCCCATTCGTGACAATATACCATTGGGATCTACCGCAGAACCTGAACGAGCAGGGTGGTTGGTTGACTGCGGAAATAGCTGACTGGTTTGGAGATTACTCCAGGGTTTTATTTGAAAACTTTGGAGACAGGGTGAAGCATTGGATTACGATTAACGAACCCTACATCCATTGTAGCTTCGGTTACGCATCTGGGTCTCACGCGCCAAGAATCAAGTCTCCAGGGGTTGGTTTCTACGAATGTGGACGAAATATCATTCTAGCAAATGCGAAAGCTTGGCACATTTATGATAAAGAGTTTAGAGCTACCCAAGGAGGTGTGATAGGTATAACATTGGACTCCACAATGGCTATGCCGGGTTCTAATTCTCCTGATGATATTCAAGGTGCGGCTGATTATATGAGTTTCTATGTAAGTTTTTTTAAACATTCACTTATAAATTACCTACTAAATATCTAATGACATTACGTACCACTTCATAATTTTTTTCAAAGATTATTAAATAGGTGAAGTCCAACATTAAAGCTAAATAAACTAAATGCTCTTAACTATGCCAGCTTGACAGATAAAATGGGTGTTTATTTCTGTTTATAGCTCGGACAATACGCAGACCCAATATTTTCCGCGACAGGCAACTACCCACAAAGAGTGATCGATTTAGTCGCAGAAGCAAGCAGGCGACAAGGGCTAAATGAATCTCGATTAGTACCATTCACTCAGGAGGAGGCTAACAATAATAAGGGAACTTCAGACTTTTTCGGACTAAATCATTATTCCAGTACCTATGTGTATAGGTAATTTATTTTTTAAGAAAATATGTTCATGAACATTGATGTGAATCATACATACAGTATTACTAAAAACATTGCCAGTATATTTGTAAAAATAGAAGGTTTTAAACCATATTCCGCGATATTGGGCAAATCATGATGCTATCCATCTCACAAAATGATAATATTCCGTAGTGGGATTTTTTTTATAAAGGCAAACGATTCTACGGAACGCAAAAAAGAGCAGTCATCGCAGCCTATGGACACCCATTATAGTAGGTGCGTTGCCGGCATTTGACGAAGGAGTATATCTGTCGTCGAAAATATTGTAAATAATAAATAATGAAATTGTTTGACCAGATAATTTAATAATCATAAGTTTACGAAAGAAATAATACACGTATAATCACTTCCTGATATGGTCAAACATTCGTTATTAAATAAAAAATACATTGCGCCGGAATCGTTTTGTTTTTAAAACATCATGAGGGTTTAAAAGTTTTAGTTTTGACATACAGACAAAAATGTATGTAATGAGTTTCATAATACAATTATTATCTACAGGAATTCTTCTGTAACTGGAATATATGCGGTGCCTTCTTTAAATGATGATCTCCAAGTAGGAACCTTCCCGGATCCCAATTGGTATAAAAACCCGGCTGCTTGGGTATATGTAAGTATTCTTAATGAATATGTAATAGTAATATATTGTTCTAAACTTACGTAACAAACATGCATCCCAGACTCCTGATGTTGTGAGAACTTTTACTAAATAGTTCAGGAGCCTGTGAGACTTCCCAGTTCCATGTACCTACCTAAGCAGTAGCCAGTAGCCATGCTGCAATATAAAGACATATTGTTAGATTTTTATAAAAACCATCCCTTTGTCAGAACCAAAGTCTACTTAACATTAAATAACCCTATTTACTCGATTAATTGGTTCGAAATGTAGCTAATTGTAACTTTACTCAACTTCTGTTAAACTGTTTTTCCAGATAAAATACAAGAATTTATTAAATTCAAAGAATCGTTATTTCAGAGATACGGCCAAGGATTACGCAAACTGTTAGGATATATTAAGGACACATACAACAACCCTACGGTCTATATTACGGAGAATGGTTTCGGGACAGCAACTGAGCGAAATGACACTGATAGAGCTGATTATTATAGAGAATATTTAAATGGTGTACTCGACGCTATTGATGATGGCGTTAATGTCAAGGGTTACTGTGCCTGGAGTCTTATTGATAACTTCGAATGGGCGGTGGGCTACAGGTAACTATCGTATCTACTAGAGGTACATTAATAGGGGTGCAGGGAGAGACAGCAGAGATTCAATTGCGTTACGTAGGACAAATACCTTTGTTTTAAAGTGTGTTTTATTAGTGGGAAGAACTATGATACTCAAGTTGTAAGTTATCCATACTTCAAGTAGGCCCCCTCGCCTATTTTTACCAAAGGCTAGCGACTCTCTTATTAATAGGGACTTGAGTTGAAAGTGTACATTGACGAATTGATAAACTGAATCAATTATTACTTTCATCATCAAATCTTATAGTACCAGTAAAAAAAAATTGAAACAATTTATATGGACCGAAACAAATACATATTAAGATTATTGGACTTCACAAGGATAGATAAAAACTTATATACATAAATATCAGGGTTAATTTATTCTAATTATTCGAAAAATATTTCGCTGATAACAGCTTTCTACCATTTCAGCGTACGTTTTGGGCTTTATGAAATCGACCAGAATGATCCAGAGAAGACAAGGAAACCCAAATACTCGGCACTTGTTTACAAAGAGATCGTTCGCACAAGAAGTGTAGATCCATCATACAACCCAGACCTTCCGACAGATGCGTCAATGAATATAAAAAGTTCATTCCTAGTTGTATTAGTTGTAGCAGTTTTGAATATTATTTGGTAGGTAAATTATTATGTGCAAAACAACTATGTGTGGCAAGCACTATATTAGTAAATAAAATTATGATGCAAAATCTGGCATCATTATAAATTGGTTTTATGTTCTTTGGCAATTTCTTTAATTGCCTCAGTAAATGGGTCATATTCAATAAAGACCCAAAAATATGAAATTTGACCCATTTACTGAAATAAAATTTATTTGGCTATTTAACCAAAATTTGTATTAAGTATATGCATATTGAATATAGTTCAAAATTCAAATTCAAAAATCATTTATTCACGTAGGTAACACAATGTACACTTGTGATTCGTCATTAAAGAAATAAATATTAATGCTTCTAATTTTACATTTACTGCCAGTTCTCAAATCAAGGGCGTAGAACGGAAGAGAAGAACTGGCAATAAACTCTCCGCGACTCTTTTTTATCGCCATGTTTTTTTTTTGTTTTTTACACAACGTTTGTAAGGAGCTGCAACCATTACACCATGTATTTGGTTATTAGTTGCCTATGCATATTCGAAAATCTGGTTTTAATTTATTTATAACAAGTAATTATAAAATATTATTATACTATAGGTTTAAAATATTTACAATTTATGTATCTTGAAGCTGAATTATGTAAATATTTAAGCAGAAACTTGTTTTTTGAAAGTGACACAATAAAAGAAGTTTTTAAAAATATGAGCTTTATTTTATATTAAAAAATATTTTACGTCATTTAAATTAACATTTTGAAATCTATACAATAGACACATGTATAAAAAATTATAAAAAACATTGTATTTTAAATTTCATTCATCACATCACATTCTAAGTCAAACACATAAAAATACATTGTTTAGTAGAAAAATAGTTATTGCTATGAGATTATAATGCTAATCAGTCCTTATCACAAATTTATCTTGTATTGACAATAATTCTGATGGATCACTACTGGAAGATGAATCATCATCAGAATCAAGATCTGACGAATCTGAGGAATTGCTACTAGATGATGAACTATCGCTATAAAATACTGCGTTTCCCTTTGATTTAGGTAATAGAGACATTGAGGCCATTTTTAAAGCCATTTCATTCTCTGTGACTTGTGATTCCTCTTGACATACCATTTTTGCAGCTTCCTCTAATTCATCTAATTCTAATGACAAATCTGCTTTACTTATTTCAATATTGGCTAAATTATGACACAGTTCTATTAGTTCTTCAGATCTACACTTTTGTAGAAATATTAAATAGTCATTAATGTACAACTGATTAAGGATATACCTAGCATCATTACTTGTATTAAACATACTGTGTATATCAATAAAGCATTTTATAACACATTTTTTATTCTTTTTTAAAAGTGAAACCACATCACTTTTGACTTTGTGACATAGTTCAAAGTTTCTGAATATTGGAAAAATTAGAGCTCTTCTATAACAGGATACTAATACATCTTTCATATCACTGAATACACAAAACCAACTCAAAGTAGAAGATATTTTGTTTATTGTCCAACTAGATTCAACTGTGCTTTCATTTAATGTTGTTCTTTTGTCATAGCAATATCCATACAAAATGTCAACTAAACTTAAAAATACTTGTTTATGTTCACTTTTAGTTAAAATATAATGCTTATTGGCGAGTTCTTTTAGCAGACTAATCTGATCTTCTGTAAAAGCAGCATTGTCATCAAAGCCATTTTGATCCCACTGCATTTTAAAAGTCAAATATGGATTGATAAGTTCATCATCATAAAAGTCAGCTAAATAATGATCAGACGAAAATTTAAGGCTTTCATACTTTTTCCGTAACTCATGTCTGTCTTGAATACTAACTTCTTCTGGAACTTTTAGAGCAAAAATTTGAGGAAACTCACTGCCTATGTTATGAAATTTAGTTGTAATTTTACATGCAAACCCATATCCATACTGATTACTTGTTTCTTGATCTTGTTCTTCATGTTCAATTGTAATTCCATCCTCTTCTAATATTTCCACTAGATTAGGATTCAAATTCGGTATGTCTCTTGGGGCTAGTAGACTCGTAATCATATCTAAATTTTCAAAATGTTCTCCCGGATTTTCCTTATCGAAAGTAAGATTAAAATCACCAGAATCGCATATATATGAACCTTTAGATTCTTCGTTTTCTAGAATACGACCAGGTAGTCGAAGTCTGAGAAAATAGGGACTGGACACAAATAATAAATTCTCTCCGTCAACATCGATATCAGTCTCTCCAATGTTTGTATATGGTGCATGCACAACGATAAACACGTGGTTATCATCTTGCGACAGCTTAAAGCTCGGTGTCAGCATTTTGTGGGAAGTTCTTTAAAACGAATTAAAATGCTAACATTAAATACAGACTTATGTTAAATTACAACATTTTTAACTTCCGTAGTTCGTATTTCAAACAGAGCACAATTTTGTGGATTTTGACTTTTGAGATCGTGAGTCGTGACTTGAGTCTACGAACTACGAAGTAACAGTGTTGCCAACGACACCGGGACACTGTTCACAACCTGAACAGCAGTTATCGTACCAGGGCCGTAAAATTATCGTATATTGGTCCATATACGATAAATTATCGTACAGTCAGGAAAATGGCTAAAAATACTTTAAAAAATATATGAAACGTGAAAATAAAATGTTGCAAACGATTTATAGTTTAAATCTTGTAAACTTGTGTTTTTCAAATTGAAAAAATAATAATAATTCAATTTAAATGTTCGAATGGCACAGACCCGAGCTGGGCCCTCGTCCATTCGAGTGTGATTAAGGGGCCAACATTTCAAATTTATAAAGAACAAAATAATGTTAAAGGATAGAGACAATGAAAAAACATATTTTTAAAAGTTTAACTGAATATATTTGGAGAACAGAATACCAAATATTAATAAACTTAACGTTTTAAATACAACTTTTAATCTCTTCCTAAAAATAGCATATTTTCTCGTTGAACAATATGGTGTTCGCTCTAAGTGATATACCTATTGTCCTAAAATTATATTATTTTTATCATTTAAAATTCGTTAGGTATTAAAATGATATCAAGATTCAATCTGCGTCACATACAAATGTAATTTTTGGCTGTGCATTCTGATCGTTTTTGTGTTTGTACATTAACGCTTTGTTCATCCGCTGTAGTCGCCTTGTGACTACTTGTTCCTAATAGAAAAATAAGCCAATAGATAGCACTGACACTAAAAACTGTAATTGTTATTGGGATATCTGTGTAATCATCAAATTTTTATCAGAATGGAAATTATCTAAATCTGCGTACGATAGTCGTGTACCATCGTACATCGTACGTAGTTATGAGATTATCGCACATGTACGATAATTATCGTACGGTTGTGACCGGGACTGATATCGCCATTATTCACAGCATAAGTAGCCTAATGTAGCCGAATTTCAGGATAGTGTAGCCTAAAAAGGAGCCGAAATATAAAAATAAAATAAAATTGTAGTGTATATTTAATTTTAACTTTATTTATACTTAATCCAGAACACCCGGAATAAATATCTGTAGATCGTACAAATATATTTTGTTCCGAGGCGGGAATCAAACCCGCAACCGCCACCGCCACGACGAAAGAGTTCCTAGAGATTTCCTGCTTGCCTGACTGGAGGACAGGGCCCTCTTAAACAGTAAAAAACATTAGTTCTTAAACTTACTTTTAAATTCATTTTTGAAGTGAAACTTCTTTATCGGGGTTGGAAAAAAATTTAGTGTAACATTTTTTCGTTACGCGTCACATTTTTCGATTACGCGCCATGTTGCTTTTTGATGTCAAACTTCTTTATCGGCGTTGGAATGAAACTTCTTTATCGACGTATGGGAGAAATTTTGTAGCAAATGGTCACGTTTTTCAATGATAGTAATAATTCTATTACAATTAATGAAATTCTATAATAATCTTCGTAGTAATAAGGTAAAATGAAATATTTGTATTCATGTGTATGATAATAAAAGCCTTTTGTTCAACTTTATCTAATTTAACGAATTTCTGTAAAGTTGCATATAGTAGATCATTTTTCGAAAAATAAGATCTTATTTCTTAGTTTCACTTCTTACGTGTGTACACCTAGTACACGCACAATTTTTTCATGGTATTTTTTCCCATTCTTCGCGATAACGCTTCACATATTTGCCGTGTTTTCCCATGCTTTTTTCACAGAAATGATGGCTTTGAAATTACTTGTTACACGCACTGGTTATGTTGAAGTTGAAGAACAAAGTGACCAAGCGAACGAAACGAAAGGCACAAAACATTTTCCCGAATTTAGTCAGTATAATATAGATAATTGCGGTAGTCACTAACAGCAATATAGGTAGGTACATGGCACAGTACTACCTCCTAAATTTGGTTAATTCATAATTTCTAAGACAAATTCTGGATACTAAAGAAATACTGGGTAAATTCCCCGCCCGGAAACTTACTACTTTAATATCTCATACAGATCTTAGAATGACTATGATTTTTAATAAAAGTACAGTAGAACCTCTATAAGTCGAACATCAAGGGAGACGCCAAAAAATTCGAGTTATAGAGTTTTCAACTTATGGAGGATTTCGACTTAGGCGGATTTTGATTCGACATAAAGAGTTTGAGGTTTATTCTTATAAATTTTGAGTTAGAGAGGTAAAATAAATAAAAATTAATTGCAGAGGTGACAAACATATTTTTATTTATTTAAATCAACATTATTTCAAATCATTTAAAATAAAAAAATGGCATTAATAAAAGTCAGTAATTTTTTTTTGCTTTAGATAATTTGTTTGTTCTCTATCTATAGCATTGTCTAATCTATAAAGAGCAGAAAATTCTTCTTCAGAGTTACTGGTTTGCTCTACAAAATTACGTAAGGTATTCAATCGGTTCCGCCTCTTTGATGGAAACCCATGGAGGCATTACTATTCAGTCTTCTATGTCATCTAAATTTAGTATCGGTTTTCTGAGTACTGAATCGATAATTTCGTATCAGATAATGTCCAGAGTATAACTCCATATCGCACGAAAAAAGTCCTCAAAGGACTTAAGTCGAAAAAAATGACTGGCTTAGCTAAATTTCAAAGGAATTAAAATTGAAATAACAAACAAGCAAAAGTTTTCCATGAGTCATAAATGTATTATTGTATACTCCTAAAATTTTTCTAAGAAAAATATGTACTAATTGTCGGCAAGTTCTTAAAGTCGGTAATTATGTTCAAAGAGATAAATTCCAAATGATCAAGTTGTAGTTCATTTGCGATTCATGACAAGTCCTTGAAGTAGCCTAATATACCAGTCTTTAAGATATTTTCATCGTCGATGTCGACGTCGTTCGATAATTATAGTCCTGAGTAGCCTAAATGGCGATAAATCGCCTACGTTGACCACACTGCGAAGTAATATATATTTTTTTTAAATTTATTTTATAACCGTGGATACAGAGTCCTTCAGTCAGAATCATAGAGATTACATAAGGTCCTTAAAAGTATGTAATGGAATTTACATCATAAATTTCATTTCTTAATCAATTAAGTTAGTACGAATTGTAATTATATGCAAATTAAGTATAAGATATTAAAACTAAATAACTTAACACAAAACTATTCTATACAATTGGAAATATTCCTGCATTAGTCAAGATGCCTTAACAGTAGTGTATGTAGAACGTCAAAAACTAAATTTGTATGAAAACTTTTCGACACGAACTGTCATTTCCATACAAATTAAGTTTTCGACTTTCTACTATACAATTGGAAATATTCCTAGTAACGCAATGTCTTTAAATTTGTTTAACTGTGTTTGAAATAAATTTAAACACAGATAAGAAAAAAGCACGATTAGATAATAAATCTTGAGGGCGGTGGGGAACACTTAATGAATTTTCTTCTGCGACACGAAGTAATGATTAATGATAATCTTGCCATGTCTCCGAAACAGTGTGTATTAAAACAAGAGCTAGACATATAATATACCAAAAGAGCAAAGTAGCATGGAAGAACAATTTCTAAAAATGTGCCATGTAATTTTTCAGCAATTACTGTTACGTAAAGCGTATGGTATTTTTTTTACTGACGGGTTATAATTATGCCCTCACTGGCGACGCCCTTGTTATACATATTTCAAAAGGTTGTTCTCAAACAAAGCTGGTAAATGTCCAGCTAAAATTATCTATAAATTGTCCGTGTGAGTTATAAATGTTAGAATATGATAAAAACACATTTATTATTTACAAATTTTCAATATCACATAAAAGCCCTTTAAAATAGGTTTTTTATCTTGACCAAGAAGTCGATACTTAACATATCTGAACCTTAAATAAACGAAAATGTACACTTGACGCTATTTTAAAATAGGCATTAGAATCACATGAAGAAATGCTACTATATTTATTTGTACCTTAAGCAAGCATGTCAAAAATTTATTTTAAGATAATTAGACATTTAAACCATCGGTGGTGGTATACCGTATACGTAAATAGTTTTAGTCATATGCCTCATATACACGTTCATTAGCGACTGTTACTTATTATTTGTGACTAATGACTTCGGTACCAAAAAATTGCAGTGCTTAAATATATATTTAACACTTTTCGCCAGCCGACATAATATTATCTTTGCTAAATGCCAATGACCACTGCCCAGTGACAGTGACAATCAGTTATCAAAGTTTAGTTTAGTTCTGTGTTATTATAACAAATCAAATCAATAAAAATCACTTCTAAAACTTGTTTTTAATATTTTTATTCCATATGGTAAAAAACAAGTTTTTTATCCATAAACGAGATAATATAATACCATGCCATAAGGACTTAATTAATAATTAGTTTAATTTTTTTTCACATTATGAAATAATGCCTGTAGGAAGAAAACGTTGGAATCTTCATGGTAAGTGGATAATATATTAAATTTAAATTAATTAACATGATACGAAATTTACATTACTTTTCAACAAGTAGTGGTACTTTTATGACAAACTTTTGTATTGTACAAAATAAAACCAAGATAGTGTATGTTTTATTATTAAACATTTATGATTTGTTTAAGTTCCTTCTGGGGTTTATTTTTCATAATAAGCACACAGTTTAAATGTTTACTTTTTTTAAATATTATTTCTCTCAGATGGACCTCAAGGATCTCTAAGACGTCTGCGTAATCAGTTAGCTGAGGATGGTTGTGCTGAGTCTCAAGTTGTGTTGGCAAAGCAATTATTAGAAGAAAAATGTGGTAAATATATTTTTGGTGGTGTTAAATATATCAGGTTTTTCAAGTGAAATAATTAATTTGTCAATGCACAAAACTTGCACAATAGCTTTTTTAAGGCGGCTAAGGATATTAAAGCATACATCATCATCAACCACCTGTCCGTGGTGTGATTGATATTACAAGCTAAGAAAATCTTTTTATTGGTATCTGTTAGAAAATTTAAACTTACTTTAATATTTTGTTATGTTGTTGAGATGTTAAACATTAATTGATTAAACAAATGAAAAAATTAAAACAACTCCAATTCCAATATATTATGTGACTAAATGCTAAATGTTAAATAATTTAATTTAAATACACAGTATCATATAATATTTGAATGAAAATGTTTATTTGAGATACAAATAAACACTTTCATTTCATTTTCATATTTATTTTCAGAACTTGAAGCTGACAAAGTGTCTAATTTTAAACAAGCTTTGGAATGGCTTATTTGTGCTACTGAACAAGCTCATCCAGAGGCCAGAAAAATGTTACGAAGGTAATCCAATAAAATGTTATATAATAAAAACAGAATTTTACAACTTGTCTTCTAAATCCAACCAAATTTTTAAAACCCACTGAATCAGCCCAAAGATTATTAGATATAATGTATGAAGTATGAGACAATTACATGTGTAGGTGTAATTGTTAGGTTAGAGATGTGTGTTCTGTTCATTCTGATTTATTCTTCAGATTACTAGATAAAATTATTTGACAGCTTTTAGAGTTGCTCTTTTATATATATATATATATATATATAATATATATATATACAGTAGAATCCGGTTATAACGACAGCCAAGGGACCGCTGATATTACTTCGTACTAACAGGATGCCGTACTAAACGAACAGACATTTTTTTTATTAATCACATTATGTATGTATTTATTAATATTTAGGTGACTAATTAAAACATATTTAAATTAAATAAGATATTAGAACGACTCATGGCCATGTGTAATACCTTTTCAGAATCCCTATTAAATGCGCAAAAACTTGTAATACAGGGTCACTTTTCGGTAGAGAATATTTTTTTTATAGTGGGGTCCAAAGTAAACAAAAAGTTATGATTTAAATTTTTCCCCCTTATTAAATTATCTCAAAATCAAAAACAACTATAAATATATGTCTAACCAGCTCATCAGTCCAATCTATCTTAAGATACAGATATTCTCGAATAAACAATAATTAGTTAAATTATCAATCTTAAAACGAAAATAAATTATAATCGAAGTACCTCCCGTAGGCTTTTTTGTTGATCTTAGCAGCGGATCCACGACGCTTTAGGACACCCTGTATATATTAAACATTCATTCATATAAGAAATACTTGGGAAATTCATATTTATATAATATGGGTTAGAAATCATTATGTTTCATTGGTCTTTTATAGGCAAAAAGGATCTACTTGTAAGGCTGCCTTACTTAAAAGTTACTTGAACTGTACTGTACTCAGAAATGAGTATACAGTTATAATTAAAAAAGCAAATTTAAAAAATATATTTGTTTTATTTGAAAATATAATTTGACCTTTTATGGCGTTTTAATGTCTCTTTTTATAATAGGTCTGATAATTGGTCAAACAAACAGTAGTTAAATTAAACAAAGTTCTTATTCATAGAAAAAAGATTGACAGAAATTAAAATATGAAATATGTCAGAAATTTTTAAACGTCAATATTTTCGACAACGAGTTATGAAAACAATGAAAAAAGTTGAAAATTCGCTGCAATATGCAAAGAATGATATGAGGTATGAAAATTGTTTATAAAACATGATAAATCTTTGTAAATAGTAAACATGAAAACAATAGTATTGGTCAGATATTACATAATGTTCTTGTGAGGTAGACGAGAACTTATTCCCAATGAAGGAAAATTTGTGTGATTTTTTGACTTGGCAGAGAAAGTGGAATAGGGTGCAGGCTGAACTTCAAAGCTTCATGTAAGTTCTTCACAAGCCTGACATAGATACTTATTTAACGATTTAGTATCCATAACCGCTATCTCGTTAACTTACTCAAACCTTTAAATGTCGACAACTGACATTGATTCGATATTTCTCCTCTATATTTCTCGTAGTTATCCATTGTGTAAATGAAAAAAACTGCTTGATAGGTTTGGATATTATGTGTAAACACAAGCTATTATATTCATCTTTTCTAATCGTATGTAATTGGATTTATAATAAATGTATCTATGTATTAACCACTAGCATTCGACAGATTATTAATTACAGTGTAAAGTCTCTATAACGTAAAAATAAGCTAAATTTATTTGTTTTAACTCAATACCCATATATTAATTCCTCCCTATAACGAATAAAAATGCTCGGTCCCTTGAAATTCGTTATAAAGTGTTACACTGACCGGCGATCTAGGTAGTTACTGAGCTTATAAGACTCAGGTGGAGTGAGCAATGCGGCTCCTACAAAGTCAGTTTTATTCAAAATCACTTTTATATGCATTATAAACTTTTTCTTGATCGTTACGTAAGAGTAATTATTGTTTTATTGTAGAATCACAGTAACTAACTTAGGAAGAGGTTTGGGTGTTTATTTGAGGTTGAGCGAAAAATATCTTTTATATACAGTAAAGTATTCATTTACTCTTCAATTGAAGTTTATTATTTTTATTCCAGGTGTATTCGCAGTGGCGTTATAGACGAGGACAGTGCGCCGATAGTGCGTGCCAAGTCTTGTCTAGCTGCGAGCCGACAGGAGACTGTAGCCCGAAAAGCTGCTAGAGACCTTTTTGCAAGGTATATAGACCAGACATACTGAAAAACAAGGGTATTTTTCGAAGTTATACTTCTTTAGGCGCAGAATGAAGTTACCCACGGAAGATGCTACTGTGCATTGGACATAATTTAAAAACAACATTCGAATAATAATAGAATTTATGTTACATTTAATGTAAGAGAATAATAATAAATATTTATTTATTAAATTTTTCAAATGTAAACTGAACTTTATTGACTATAATTAATGACTCCTTTTCCAGTCTTTGATTATTTGCATGCAATCAAAAACTATTTTTTATAATGCCAAAGAAGTATAACTTCTTACGCGCGTACACAAGTACACGCACCCTTTTTTTTAATCCAGCGGAATATTGCAAATACCGACGTCGTGGTAATAGCAATTATTATTAAAATATATTGATATTTTAATAATAATTTCATTCTAACATCAATGTTCAACCTGATGTGGCAGTCTCCTGCAGAATATTCCGTTCATAAATTTTCTTTGATGAAATGAAGCCATGTAAACTTCTTCTGGAATCTTAGAGAATCGACACAATTTTCTAAGATTTTACTTAAAAGGAAGGATTTTAAACTAACCTTACCTTATTTTTTGGTATATTGCGTAGACATACGGTCTAAAAACTGCAATAATCTTGCTACATACATAAAAAATGTTTCGGTAAGAATTTTTATACATAAAAAATGTTTCGGTATTATAATTAGATAAATATTATTTTTATGGAAAATTACATATTTAATTAATCTGTTTAATCACAGAGCGTGTAATAAAGCCAAATTTTTATCTGTATTAAAAACGCAATGGAATGCTAAGTTGAACCAGTGACCAAAGCAAAATATTTATCCTTGATCAAATCTCTAATAAAGCAGCTATTTGAGTAGCAATCTGAATTATTGTCTCAATCATTAATTTGAGTGACGTCTTTGAATACGGACCTAAAAGAGTCGTAGTCGAGTTTTATTGCATTTTGACATTCGTACTTCGCGCTAAGTTTCCACTCGAATATTTTATCATAATTGGGAAAAGAGATAAAACCACTCCTAGGATTAACTACATTAGGTTAAGGGTAACTTCATTAGATTTTCCCTTGAATTTCAGTTTATCTAACGGTGAGCAGTATATAACGACGGCGCAACTGGAACGGCGTATTCGTGAAATTTGTACAACGACACTCAAAAAGGATGAAGAGGATGAGGCATTGGACGAATCTCATGGTAAATATCCTAATAAACTCAATAAAAACAGGTGGACTAAGAACGGAAGTTATTCCTTGGTGGCGCTACAAACCCGGATTCCCTTCAGATTTTTAATTGAAATATGAATATAGGCAAGCAAATGATCAGCCTTTTGTGACACGTCTTAGAAATGCCAGTTTCTTTTTCACAAAGAAAGCAGATTTCTGTACCTGTTTCGTAATCATTATTTTTTTAATCAAATAAGTTAGTCGATTTTTAGATCTTAGGCATGCCGGTTTCCTCACGATTGTCCTGCGAGTGTTAAATGTGCACATAGAGATAAAATCTCAGTGCACAGCCAAGATTCGAACGCACATTTCAGGGTTTCGAGGCACAAGTCACTAGGCCAACACTGCTGCAACAACTAGAATTTGAATTTCAAGTAAAACTTTATCTGTTCCGTGTATTATGCTATATTTATTACTTTAATTCAAGTGTAATATAGCTTATTTAAGCTAACAAAGAGAAGCTTAGAGCACTATGCTATGATACATTTATTGCACGCCTCGCAGTGCTCTACTCTCGACATGTCAAAAAACCCAGTCTTTCGAAACTTGAATGACTTTTTTCTCACTAATATAACACTTACAGGATAATATGAGTGCACTAAAATCGAGTTAAATTATCTATCAAGCACATATGGTATTTTTTGAACAATTATTTTGTTTAACATAGTAAATAATAACATTAAAATCAATTATTCTTGGACGTCCGTCAGTCTGTGTTTATGGATTCCAGTATGTGGCAGAGAAATTGTTCGAAAAATTTATCGTACCAGAATACTTTTTTTCTTATTATATAAAGTTATACCCTGGGCTGATTCCTAGTTAATATTAGCGTTCTAAGTACTGTCGTTTAATTATAATTTGTAAAAAACTAAAATACGACTGTGTATTTGTATATCTATATATACATTTATTTTAGTATATTTTTTTTCCTCACCTTAGAGTTATGGCGCCACTATATATTTTTTTATTATATTATTGTTTTTTTTCAATCATTCATTTTCATTTATTTTTTATTTTTATTTTTTTTGTTATTTTGTTTTAAAAAACTTGAGTTTTTGTTTTAGAAATTTTAAAAAAATGTGAATGACCGCTATGAGGCGTGCAATTTTGGATTTTCCAAACTTTTTTACTTTATTTTGGTAATGAAATTGAAATAACACTATTAAATAACTATGTAAGGGAATCAATATTCAATACTAGAACTTATTATTAAAAAATGTTTTAGATGAAGCACCGGCTTTGGATGATGCTCAAGCGTTAGAGTCATTGCAGGGAGGTGACCATGTCGGGAATGGTACTTTACGCACTGCGCAAGTTGTTGATGATGGTAGGTTTCGCCAAATTTAGGTGAATTTAATTTAGCACCATTTTAATTTTACGATTACGCCTCCATGTTGTAATTCGATACCTATCTTTTGTGTAGGTGCACGTATATAATAATAAAATAGTATTTTTTGCTACCAAAACTTAAAAAAATAAATTCACGTGTATCCTAGATCTTATTATCTTATCGTGGTAACGGTGAAAACCGAACCAAAATTCTATTGTTATTAGTTATTCTTTATATAGTTGGTGCATCCGGTTTATTAATAAATAAATAAATAATACGGATGTCCTTGGTTTGATTCACGAGGTAACAATAATTATTTTGAGTTGGCATGACCACGTGCCTAAATTGCCAATATTGCAGAAGTGTCCTCCATGGTTAAGAACTTCATTGTTGATGATGAATTATACAAAATGTCTGAATGTTTTATGCTTAAATCATTTAAAACTTTTATAATTTGGATATTTCAAGTTTATAATAATATATTTTTTTATTTTGTAACCTACTTAATTCATAATAGAAGTAGAAATATTATATTATATAAGTAAAAAAAGTCTATAAAAAATCTTATCTCTTTCAGATTTACCAGATCGATGTCCCAGCGACGAAATTCGTAATTTGACAGTTGACAACCTGGTCTCAGCCGCTGTGGACTATTGCCAAGGAGGGTTACCTCTAGTCAGCCGCGATTTAACCCTTACCGACCCCAGTATTAAGGCCCTTGACCATATCCCAATCCTCCAACAAGCATTTCTGCACCCCCTAGTCTTCATACAGATACTGTATTTAAAACTTCTATACTATTTTGGGTCATTCTCTTTTCGATTGTCAAATTTAGAACTCTCCCTTTTACTCATAGCTTATCTGTCGGTTAGCACGGACAGCCTTTACCATTTAGTACCACTTATTATATACTACATAAGCATTATTGCCATGGTCATATGTACATTCAAAATGTTACTCGCGAAACGACAGTTCATCGATTTCCGGAAATGGTCGGGCTTATTTTTGAGATATAGCGATGGCAATTTGCAACCAGACGAGTCGGAGAATTTGTTTGTTAAAAATAATTTGGGACCATTTTTGCAATTTTTCCTGGCGTTATTTGTTAATTTGTTTTTGTACCCCTTTATAGCGACCCAATGGGTGCCGTTTTCCGAATTTTGCGTTTTGTCATTTTGTTTAATGTTTATGACGCTTTTCTCTTTTGGGACGAACGGCCAGCTGTGTCCCGACGTGTTGGCGTTGATATCTTTTGGTTTAAATGTCTTAGCGAAGTATCCCTACGAGAAGGATACGGTAGTCCACCAAGGGTGGCGATTTCTCGATCTGCACATATCGAATTATCCATCTTATATCTTAGGAAATAGCATTGAGTTTTGCTTGAATGCGCGTGTGTTTTTTTCACTATTAATCCCGGTGATATTGGTGATGATGGCGCGAAGGAGTAACTGGCAGGGATTGTTCAAGTACACCCTGCCACATTGTGTAACGTTGAGTTGGTTGCAGATGTTCATAACTTGTTCTCACGGGTGTACGACCTATGGGTTGATTCGAGGGACGTTAGCTCTTGTGTGTTCCTTCCTTTTCCTTCCCTTAATAGGCGTGGTGACGGTAACTCTACCGATATTCGCGTTCCTGCAATATATAACGGTTCCAAGGCTGGTGTACACAGCGACAGTATTGTTTGCATTGACTGTGACATTAGGTGTGACTTGTGTCCTTGCAAAAACGGAAGCTACCAAGAAATTTGTTACACCGTTTCAGGTAATTTATAATTAATAACAAAAAGTTTTGAGGTTATGCCAATTTTTTTACTCTGTGTTTTGTGTTCTTTTAGCTTAAGTGTCAAATCTACTGAAACCAAACTTGGTGCATATTTTATATACATTTGGTTCTAGGACAATATTTATTTTTGAGTGCAACAAATTTAAATTTAATTATTTCAATAAGGTTTTATGAATGGTTTTTTTTTTAATTTTGTTGAAATATTAAATCTTTCCTTTTCATGTTTTAATATGATTGAATTTGTATTAAATTTAGTTGTTTAATGCATAAACCTTGTGTAAATTTTTTTTCAGCTCGCAATTGGTCTCATTACCCTAATATACTTCAGCAATCAATTGCTTACTGGCATTCAAGATGAAGGCGTACCGTCTGGCCTTCTAGAACTAATAACAGATGACAAAGCCAGCCTCAAAAACCTTTTAAAAAACGAATTCATCACAGATTACGAAGAAAACACTAATTTCGTAGAGTGGGAGGATTATTACAACAACTGTCATGCGCCATCTTGGATTAACAACAACATGGCGTCCACGCAAATCAAGTGCTCTATACTAGATGGAGCTAAAATCAATTGGGAAGGTTATATCAAGGATGTCACAGTGACAAATGTTAGGAATAAATGGAATGATTTCTCCTTGTGGTTGCCGGGCTTTTTGAGGGAATATTTTAAGTGTTATTATGGTGAGGAGTTTTCGACTTTATGTTCGAGGCCAGAAGACATAGATTTGGAGGGCTGTGAGTTTGTGAGGACGGTCGCGCGGCAAAGTGGGAAGAACTGTCATTTGAATAACTTGAATGAGTAAGTATGATTGTTATTTACTATTTTTATTATACTAATGTTCCACATTTTCTTTATGCCTTATTATAAATTAAAAATAGTAAAGCAATAATTTGTTAATATTTTCTACAGATACACATATGAAGTGACAGTCGACATGGAAACAAGTGGGGGATTATTAAAACGTCACTCGGAGATACGGGTCATTTTTGATAACTTTTTCACAAATTACACGAAATTACTTCGACAAAATGACAAGATACGCTTCAAGGGTATACTTTTGAATGAGCCAAATTCATATGACATTGGCTCTAGGTATTTGGATATAAAGGGGTATGAAATCAATTGTCTCGAGTGTAAAACGGCAAGGGGGTCTATTCGCACACAGGAGCCGTCGACATCGAGAGTGTGCGACTTATTTCGAACGATAGCAAACGACTGTGTCGTATCAACAAAGTATGTTTTGAATTTCCTACTAAATCCAGTGATAGTTTTTAAATAGAACTTTTTGATGAAATTTGTGAAATCGATAGTTTTTGATTAATATATAAATAATTGTGACAAAAATTTATTTATTTAATAGTTTGTTAACTAAAATAGCTTTTGCTCACCGCTAATTTTGAAAAATGAAACAAATATAACCAGGCCGAGACAGAGAAAGTCATGGGACACTGGCTAGTATGTTCTAATAGTTTAAAAATTAAAAGTATTCATTTCTGTCCCGTAGCTGGAATTTAATGTACTAATGATTTAAATCGAAATTTAAATAATAAAAAAGTAGTTATTGTCCATGTCAATTTAATCGAGCCGTATAGTACTTATTTGTCTCTTCCTCACAGCGATAAGACAATTTGAGAGAAAGAGACGAGAGTACTTTTAAGGTGGACAGGTCTTTTTAGGGATTTCAAAATTGTGTAAATTTAGACAATTTTTAAATTACTGCATCAATTTTACTATTTTACCCACGAAGTATGTCGTTGGATAAAGTGACAAAAAATCTGGTTTTTCTGGTATGTACAACATAAATTAATATGTTTTTGTTTAACGTAAAAGCGTTTATTTGACTGATTAATGTTTATTTGAAGAAAATACTATAATACGCGATCATTTTTTTTAAATTTAGAAATGTATTGTGATGTGCTTCCTGTTAAAGCCATATTAAAAATATAGTTTATTACAACAATTAATTTATTACTCTTAACATTTAAAACTTTCATTTAACTTTAATTCGTATGAGTAAGAAAATATTTTTACAAGAAAGATTTACCGTTTTTCCAAATGTGAACAAATTTTAACATTTTTTTTTACAAAAATAACCGCCTTAGATTACTGTTAAATGTACTGCAAATGTTATGAAATCTAATGCCTAATTATGTGTTGTTTTTGAATAAATAGTTTATGAATGTATTGAATATATTTTCAATGAATTATTTGGTAGTGTCATTTAATATCCAAAAATCATGAAATCCACATCTATTAAAATATTTTTATTACTATTTCGCGATTGAAAGAACTTGTTGCGTACGCGCAATGCATTAAAAATGCTACAATCTGTTATCTATGATGCAGGATGTATGATTAACAAATGGAATATAAAAAATATATTTTTCGTTCGTTTTGAAACATTTTCGTTTCCTGTAATGTTTGGTTCTCTGGACATACAAGGTTATCATTCTACAGCGACGTTAAGTTATATAAAACAAATTAAAACTTGAACGTGGTCTTGGCTGTACATTAAATTAAACATGTAAACAGCTTTAGTTACCTTCCACGATTCACACCCATAGAGCAGCACAGATTTGAAATGGATCCGAATATTTTAACCTTGATTCGATGTATCAACATCCGTGACTGCCACTGAAGTATTTCCGAACCATTTCGACTTAGGGTCCTTTAAGAAAATAGCGTATCAATTCTTGAAAGGCCGGCAACGCACTTGCGATTGCACTGGCAATGTGAGTGTCCATGGGCAGCGGTATCACTTAACATCAGGTGAGCCTCCTGCCCGTTTGCCTGGTATTACATTTAAAAAAAAAGGCCAACGATGTGCGAAGGTTGCTCGGGCCTCGGCAATGCGTGTAGAATTTCTAGAAACAAGACATTTCTGTCTTGTTCTGTACCTCCAGAATGAATTTTATGATAAGTAATAAAACAATTAAGAAAAATATAATTTATTAAAAAATACAATGTAAATCAGTCACTTAAATAAAAAACATTCGATAACAATGATAATATACATATAAGTCTTAATAACTACTCATAATACTAGTTTAAGGCCACTTCCGGCGCAAGAGCAGAAACAATTCTAGGGATCTCATTTATTTGAGACAGATTTGCCTTGCAAATGCGATATTGATGACAAGAAAACGATTTTTTTTAAATTAATATTGTAACAAAAGCTTGTTCATAAATATAAAATATTTTGCTTGTGTGACAACTGACTTATATTTTTAAAAGTTGTCAGGTTCTCGTGTAGCTTTAGCTGATATTAGCTGATTTAATACATTAAGATAACTTGTAACATAAATTATTAGCCGTCTTTATAGCTATACCTAAAATCGTAAGGTTAGAATACATTAGCTTCCTTGCTCTTAGGGTGAAATTCGGTAAGAATACTTGTCATAAACTGATTCATTCCACATTTTTGACGTTGAGTCGGATTTAGCGCCAAGTCTCTGAATTATGTACATCATTTACTGTTTAACTGTTTAAAGGCAAAGTTTAGTTAAATTTGGCCATAAACATGTTAATAACCGTTGAATGATATAAAAAAAACTTTAAACGGTAGACTCTCGAAATCCTTTCAAGTTTCATACTATTTATTAATCCATATTTTAATATTAACTTGTCAGTTAAAAATAGTAATACTAGGCATAATGTTTATCTGGAAATTCTATGGCGTCAAGTCTTTTATAAACGTCCAACATTGAGGGCCTTTCGTGTCGGACTAGTCTAGTACAGTGTAAACCGACATCTATAAAGGCTGAACATAGCAAGGGATTTGAGTTCGGAGTCCCTCTGAGAATACGATCTTCTAATATGGCTGGAAATATGAAAACACAGAGGTAATATTTTTTGAAGTAGTAGTTACATTTTTTAATCAAAAAGGAAACTTTCTACACGCAGGTACATAATTGATCTTGTTGAAAGAAAATTTGTCAAAAAAAAGACAATTTAAGGCTAAAACTAATTATGGATTGTAACGGTTTAAATATTAATTCAGACATTCTTTTAAATTTATGTGTTACCTAATGATAAAGTTTTTTTTTTGTATTGTAATTTATACCTTAACACAAAGTTGAAAGTAAATTGATCATAAAAATAATATTTGTCAAAATTAATACTCTCTCTTTTAGAAATGTTTACTTTTTTACATTCTATGAGTGAGAATGAGTTGAAAAAAAATGTATTTAGTGAATTATATTGTGGATTTTACTTACAAAAAGGCACGTTTTCCCGGGCCTGCTGATGCATGAAATCACTCAGCAGAAGAACCTTCCTGGTCCTGTCGAGGACCGGAAGGGCCGTCGCCATTTCCAGCATCACAACTCCATAGCTGAACACGTCTACCGCAGGAGATAGAACCCGGGACCGTAGGTACTCGTCTGGTAAGTAGGGACGAGTACCGTGGACTCTGGAATTACATTGTTAAAGATTATTAACAAGTAGTTAAACAAAAACCCTTATTAAATTTCGCTTAATTTAAAATACAATTTACGTACATTACATCGCACGTTAGTCCCATCGAAAGTATTCATTTTATTCATACGAATCAAACACTAGACCACATACTGCACTAATTCAAGGATTCAGAGTAGAGGATAAAAAAATTGGATTTCCCATACGGAAGTGTTACTTGACGCTATGGAAGATTCATATTTTAAGCAATAGCCGAGCTCAGCCGGTCTGGACGCGGCTAATGATTATATCCTTTAGCATAGATATTTAACATAAAACAAACACATTATAACATGTGAATAACCTCATAATGATGAGATTCATTAATAAGAACAATAAATAATTAAATACCTAGAGACTTTCAAATGTGTCCGATCCTCTCCATACGGCCCCTTCCTTGCAAGGCCGAAGTCTCCGATTTTGGGTATAGAGCACTGGTCCAGTAGGATGTTAGCTGGTTTAATATCTCCATGTATTAATGGCGTACCAGCCATCGTGTGCAGGTATTGGAGTCCTCTGTTAACAAAAATCACAGCTATCAGAATAACTTATGAGATAGAACTGCTAAATTATTTTAAATAGAATATTTACCTGGCAACTCCGTGAGCTATTCTGTACCGTTGTCCCCATGAAAGTGGCCGGTGTAATGTCTTCCCTCTCAATCTCTGTTCCAAAGATCCACCCGCCATTAATTGGTATACCAGACATGCTTCCGGGCCTGGAATATTTATTTTGAAAATAATTAACACGAATTGAATATTTGATATTTCTCTCTCTGTCTGTTTTAAAAAAAAAACAATTTTGGGGTTATAAAAACCTATGATGTCTATAGAACGACTTATGGGGAGATATATAAAGCATATTATTGTTCATTTAAATTTTCTTAAAGGTCTTTTATTTTAGGGAGCGTTCAAGTATTACGTAACGTATTGGGGGGTCCTTTTGTAAAACGTTACGATGCGGGGCGGGGATTAAATTACGCGTTATTGTTAATATTTTTTTCGACTTACACCACATAATAGTAAATAAAGAGTCACTAGGTGGTCACGAAACGTTTAACTATACTTGGGTACAGTACTGTACTTGAGTACTGAAAAACGTTACGGCGAGTTACATGGGGGGGGGTCAATAATCTCCAAAAATTGCGTTACGTAATACTTGAACGCTCCCTAATGTCTGTATTTCAGGTTAGTGTGTGTTTCGTGATCATTGTTTTTTTCTAATTAATCTTGGTTTAAGATCCGCTGGCCACAAGTTATAAAAAAATACAGTGTAAACTTTTTAAGCTATTATCATTATCATATTCCAGCATCGAACAAGGAAATCCAGAAACCAAATAATTCCGATGTTATAGGGACTTTATTTATTATTAAGCTTTTATTATATTTTTAACCTTATATGTACTTGTTATAAATCAGATGACTCGATACCACTACCACTTAATATAATAAATTTAAAGGAGATATTTTGTTGAATTTTTCAAACATCAATCAAGTAATTCTACATAATATAAGTAATTTTTATCTTAAAAATAAAAGAAATCATACATATTATATGTATGTAAAATAAATGTTAATACCGTATGTATTAACATACAGTATTCACTATTTCGAATTATTACACACAAGTATAAATTGGCTCCTTCTGTTAAGTAATATAAAGTAATTAAAAAATCATTTATTCATATAGGTAACAAAATGTACACTTATGAACGGCATAAAATAAATATATATGAAATGCTTCTAATTTTACATTTACTGCCAGTTCTCAAATCAAGGGCGGAACGGAAGAGTAGAACTGATAATAAACTCTCCGCCACTCTTTTTAATCGCCAAGTTTTTTGGTTTAAACAATGTTTGTAAGGAGCTGCTACCATTACACCATGTTCCATATGACATCTTAAGTTATTAATAATAAAATAAATAAAAAACAAAGATATGTCCTCTATCAGCAGGAGGCATGGTGAAATAGGAGCACGCACTTACATTCTTGTGGGAACAAAATATACCTCCCAAGCTGTATCCATATAAGGGCAATATATTATCATGTCTATACTGATTCAAACACATCTCTCTAATTAATTCCTTGTTTTTATCATCGTTGTCCTTTAGTCGTTTCACAGCGAGCGGTAATAGTTTCCATTCGCCTGGAAAGAAGAAGAAAGAAGAAACTTAAATATATTATGAAGATACATATAGTTGTGCGTTCAAATCCCGACTGATGAACTTTTTTGTAAAAATATACGCAATCAGCACCTAAACCGAATGAACAACCTAATTTTTATTTAGTTTTTGGACACAAAATCTAAAACAATTGTTATATATTTTATTATTACGGAATACTATATATAACCAAATTTCCGAATAACCAATTTAACCGTAACTGCTACAAAAATGTTTATTTCCTATTTTAAAGTAAATTCTGCAAAGAACAAAAATTTAAAGCAATTATAACTAGTTCTGATGTTCAAGAGAGACCATCCAGTTTTTGGAAAAAAGTCTTACTTAATATAATGCTTTAAAAATATATCATTATAAACAAAACAATACAATAATTTCTTATGAAAAAGCTAAAATAACTAAGTATACCTTTAAATACTTGTCCAAAACCGCCTCTGCCTAGTAAATTGGCCTCGCTCCAATTATTGGTTGCAGTCCTTAAGTCTTCATAGCTGAGCATTGGTATAGCTGATATGCTCTTAAGGAATTCATCCCCTAAGCTCCCATCTTGACTTTGAGCTCCCGAATTCTGAAAATATAAAGAATTCTACGTTCAAGCTTTTTGCAAAAACACATCAAAATTATAACATACTAATCAAATGTTAATTTTGTAGTGTTCTTATCAACTGTTTTTTCTAAACTAAAACTTAATTGAACTAAAATATTTTTTAAAGGAATTCCCAGGTAGCTAATGGCTAATGCACGTACGGTTCCATTTCGCACGAATTCCTGTGAACGTACATGCTAGGATCTGCAGCAAAATTTGAACATAAAGGAAGAACCATGAGGAAGTCCAACAGAAAATGCTTATTAAATACCAGATTTTAATGTAAATAAATACTTTATACTATAAAGTAATAATAGAAATAATTAAAATCAAAATCAAAACAAATTTAAAAAGTTGGTCCCTTTGGCAGTGTACCTTTAACGCTGGCAGCATTTCCTCGCCGTATTGCGATACTTATTCGTTGAGCCAGGAAAGTGCCAGCTCTGGGGTCACCGGTACTATCTACTAGATGCCAACTTAAATCTTTAATAAGCGCCTGTGCACTAGAAGTTAGAACCCCACGGCCCAAGAGTCTCTACTCCAAGGGAACAAAATCGAAGTTGGAGGAAATACTATATACAATATACTTTATACTATATTTTACCTTTGTTGAATCGGTATTAGAGTCGTCTGTAGTTTGTGGATTTGGCGAAGGTACATCGAAGACTCGGTTTGGTGTTGGAAATTGGCCATGCTGAAAAAAACAATTTTTTTTCTTGTATTGACTTCAATTGAAGACAGATAAAATATAAATTACTAAACTGACTTAAAGGCTTTAGTTTCTAACACAGTCCGTAAAACACGAAGGTATTGGATTTAATTCCTGGCAAAGCAGTAATTGAAGCTTAAAAATCTGTTTAAAGCGATGATTTGTGGATAATTTTTTTTTTTTTAATTTCGCGTTTTTTAAAGTCAAAGTCAAAAATAATTTATTGATGTAGGTAATACAATGTACACTTATGAACGTCAAAAAGAAATATACATTAAATGCTTCTAATTTTACATTTACTGCCAGTTCTCAAATCAAGGGCATAGAACGGAAGAGAAGAACTGGAAATAAACTCTCTGCCACTCTTTTTTACTTTTTTATTTCATTGTGTCTTTTAACAAAATGTTCATGCATGATTACCTTTTCAAACAGCATGACTGGTAAGGATGATTCACTGCCCTCTATTTTCTGTGTCATCTGTCTGTTTTCATTGACTGGAATAATACCAATGATTAGCAGACTTGTTTTTCCCATGGCTTTACCTAATGTATATATATGTACATGTGTTATGTGAAGACTATCTTGTAGGACATATATGGTTTAAGACAAAATCTGTTAAGAAAAACATATTTTACAGACCCATCAACTACTTTTAAATAAATAATTAGTAATAAATTGATAACATGCACTACTATTGTAAGATCATTCTTTGATATGAATGAGTGAATCTATAATTCATAACCAGAAGTAAAAAATAAGGAAAATTAGAATAAAAATTAATTATCCTCATTCATATAACAGAATGAAAATTGTTTATTGCACTTAGGTAACCAGGTCACTCGTAAATGATCTATACTATTATTATAAAGAGTAAAGATTTGATTTTTTGTTTGTTTGAAATGAATAGGCTCCGAAACTACTGGACCGATTTCAAAAATTCTTTCACCGTTGGCAAACTACACTATTCCCGAGTGACATATGTTTCATTTTTTTAAAAATTAGGGATGCTTACTAAAACTTGAATAATCTAACCCAAGGTGTAAAAAAATAAACAAAAAACTTCCTTCAATCGCGTGCGCTGCGAAAACTATTAATGATAGAACAAAATGATGTACTACAATTTTTCAGGACACATCACTATCTATGAAAAATGTCACGACAGCATGTCTCTATCTTTTATAGTTACGTCACAATAAGCGTCCTTTTATTAATTTTTTTTAAATTAAAATACCACCGCTAGAAAAGGCTCTTTATTCGTAAATAGGTATTGACCCTTATCAAAATAAATACCAACGTTTCACATAAGGTACAATTTAATGGCATAACCACCAAAAAAGAAGGGATTGGTGTTCTCCTGCCGTTTCTCTTGAATAGTTTACTACTATGTAATAAAACAAAAATCATAGGCACAGCAACGCTTGGCCGAGTCTACTAGTTAAAAGTAAAAGAACAACCAAACATTACTAGCTAAACGGCACTCTGCCAAAATGATGAGACTGCATAGAACTAACAGTCCATAGACTAACACACTCTTCCCTGGCCAACATCTAATTTTACAAAATTTTATTTACTTATTTACACTTTGTTATATTTATAGAAAAACAAATAAAATTATAAATAAAAATTAAAAGGGATGCAACAGGAGGCCTTATCGCTAACAAGCAATATCTTCCAGGCAATCCTAGTAAGGAAAAATTCTAAAAAAATAAATATGATGGGTAAAGTCCAAGAAGCGCATATCCAAATCTTAGGAAAACCAAACCTTAAAATAAACTAAAAAGCTAATCTCACGGAATCATGAATTGCAATGCTATACAAAAGAATTTAAAGAAAAAATTCCAGCATTTATTGGAAACATAATATAAAAATAATAATAGTTTACTATAACCATATAAAATTTTAAACTGAATATGGTGAGTTGAAGGTGAGTTAATTGTTGATAAAAACAATATGAGAAATTTTATACTTAGTATCTTCCTTTAATAAAATTATTTCTTGTTTTTAGGAAATGAATGAATTCTCAAAATATATAGTATAAAATATGACATACCATCTAAAGTACTTCGGTCCCTAATACTCTTGCTATCATGTTTATGAAGTAATCTATGGAACCTCCCATCAACAACAGGCACCAGGCAACGCAAAGCAGGTATATGTTTCATTCTATATAATAGAATAAATAATTCTTCCACTCTATGGTTTAATTGACCCCATCTTGTAAAAAGCTGATTAGTTGGGGAGGATGCCTGACGCTTTGCCATTTGTTCTATTTCCTAAAAAGATATGTATATTTATTGCAAAATAATTTCAACAGTAACTTTGAATGATTCATGTTTTTTTTTTAGAAGAATAGACTTAAAAAGAAATACATGGCTTTATGAAAATAATAATTTTAATAATCTCAAGGCAAGCAACACAAGTTCACTTGTATACATCACGCCTGTAAACTTTATTTATGTAACTGTATTTTAAAATTGATTATATCATATGTAAAATCATAATAACCATCCAAAATTTGATGCAAAAGAAAGAGAAAACCTAGCAAAAATTATGTTACGTCAAAGCGGATAACGCACTCGTAACAAACAATTTGGAAATCCCAAGGAACAAAATATCTCCATTGGAAAAACCCTAAAGAACCTGTTGTGATACTTACATTAACTTCAAAAGCTGAATATTTCATATGTATACCGGCAAGATCCTTCCAATCATCATCATTATCCAGCAATCTACACAACTCCTTATTTATATCAAAAGGTAATTCGTATATGTACATTTTGCGATTTCATTTACAGGAAAAATAACAAACAAGTCATTCCTCACTAAGTTTACTTTACAACTAGTTCAAATTTCAAAGAGTATAAAATTATAGTACGAACAGGAGGAATTGATTATGAAGTTTCTCTTGACATTGATGTCTGACAGGCACAACTCTAACCAAAGTGCCCTATTTATTATAATTAAATTAACAAGTCATTCTGAGACAGCAGCTCAGCAAGCAGGAGTTGAAAATATTCTTAAAATACTTGTAAAATATAGCTATTTATGGGTTACCGAACACACAATTAGGTCCTTTTGCCATTGCAGTCATGATTATAGCTTTTGTAATGTTGTGTGACAGATGTGTAATTTGTAGCCGTGTACCATTACATAGTGGTGCGTCTAGATTTCTCAATAATAGGACTGGAACGCTAACTTTCAACCTCAACTTCTGGTAAGGCACTCCTGATAGTGGGGCGGCGTCCATACGTAGGGTTGTCTCTCTCCTTAAATATGGCGAGGGAGCCGATGGCTGGCCATGCGTCATACTCGTGAATGGGTGCTACTTGTGGTGACTGGTAGGACTTGAATTCGTGTATGCCGTGATGTTAGTTATTTCGACTAGGTATATATTTGCGTGTTGTTCCCATGAGAATATAAGTGCGTGCTCCTATTTCACCATGCCTCCTGGTGATAGAGGACAAATCTTTGTTTTTAGATTGTGAGCTCTATGACATGTGGTGGCGGTGGCAGTTGCTAGTGATGACATTGCTCCATGTATATTTAGCATAGATTTTAATACAAGTATAATATAGAGAGATGATCAATATTATTAACAAAGAAATGGGACGAAAACATTTATACTGATTTGTTGCTAGCTTTGTTAAATAAGTTTCGAGGATTCTGTGGCTTGGCTTGGCTTCTTTAGTATTCTTGGCTTTGAAACATGTACCTGAACAATAGATAGTACAAAATATTGTTCAGAAACTAAAATACTTATAGTTTAACATGCACAGTCCTCAGGCTGTGCATTTTCGCCCGTTAAAAGAGAACCGGTGATTTGCAACCGCTTTGATTTTCGAGCGCTTAATATGAAAACTATAAAAGAATCCTCTACCCCGAATTAATGATCAATGAGATTATAATTTATCTGGCCATGGGTGGTGTACTGGACCTCGACTTCTATTACAAAATTGATGGTCTTTTTTTTCTAAACACTTGGTCCTAACTCGTTTAAGCCATTTAGTCGAAGTGTCATTTCCGATGCACTCGATAAGTTATTTGTGGTCTGATGTAAGTGAGCAAGGGGTATAAAGATGACCTAGTCTAAAAGGCGACCCTATAGAAAAACTGCGCAGGCGGACTGTAAATTTGAGGAACCTTTAAATATTTTATTTTTGTTTAGAGATTTAATTTCAAGGAAGATCTCGCAAATTTAAATTTTAAGGAGGTAAGTATTAGTTAACCTCCTGTAGTTTCATTTTACAACCCATCACACGAGACACTTAGTTATATGGGGCTTCTAAATTTGGCATTGTCTGCGTTGTAGTTAAAGGACCTAATCCGGAGAATATTTTTAGTGCCATTGCATACTATAAAGTAGGATAAGAAACTCGATTTACGTCAAATGCATAAATAAGACTGGTGAATGGTGGTGGTATCAACTAAATGCAAAGCTTCAAAGCCTAGTTGTTCGTGACATTTCTTTAGCTACCTGATTAGGTACCTACCATGAGCTGTTATTGCGAGCCTATTGACAACCTACAACTGAGATTAGAGATGCATCGCTTATTCATACCAAGACGTCGAAAAAATCAGCACGTTTATGTTACCACGTGACCTCAGCGATAATGAGATTTCGTTCATTTAAATTGGTTCTAAAAAAGTTACTTTTTGATCAACTTTTTTGTATCTAATAATATTTTAGAACATATAAATTCAATATTTTAATTAAAACTAGTTCATAAAGTAATAATAATAAGATGTACTGAGTATGTCTAATATATAGTAAAAACTTTAAAGGTATTTTTTTTATTTCGGATATTGAAGGCTTTTATTTTGGGTTAATTTTGAGTTTAGGAAGTATGATATGAAGAAATTATTAAAAAGTCGACGGAGATAAGAAAAAAGATGACAATCCCCTTCTACCGACTTTGAAGATGTCGAGTTTATAATTGGCTATAAATCAACTAATATTTATTTTTATTATAATTAAACTTTTCCTTATTATGTTCATGAATTGTTTATAAATTTACCTATGATGTTATGTTTCTTTAAATAAACATAGATATAACTACATATTTTTCAAATTTGTAATATCAAATATGACAATAATAAGCCATTTGAAAATATTCTAATAACACTATTTATTTAGTTAAGATGATGCCATCAAGATAGAAAAAGATGTCTTCAGGCAATTTTTATATGGGTATAAACATTATATTTCATTGGGGCTTATACAGCCAGCCAGTGGACTCTGAAATGTATGGTTATATTTATTTGTATTACATGTCAGGAGTATCTGTACGTATATGTAGTGTATGTATGAGCAAGCTGCACTAGATAACTAAATGAGTATAAAGAGGTTGATATAAGAACCTAACACCCACCACCTTGAACCTTTGATCCTACTCGTAGGGCAGCGCTTTTACCTTAGGTCTCTTGGTGCAGACATCCCTTGGTGCAGACATCAGGGCAGAGATACTTATTTATGTATTTATTAATTTATAATATATAAATAGGTCTGTAGGGCTGAGGGATCCGTAGGGTTTTTGTTTATAAAATTATGTATTTTGGAGACATGAAGGTGCTTAGGTAATATAGGAGGTAATATAGGTAAATAAAGTGACGCATTTTATTGGAATTGCGAGAAAACTTGACCTTTACAACACTCATTTTTAATAATTTTTTACATAAACATTGAATAATATTTAAAAGCTTTTCTTCTTGTACGGTTAATATTTTAACCTTTAAATTCGCACTGTATTGTAATAAAATACACCACAAAAAACTGTCGATAAGGAAAGTTATTCAAACATGTTTTAGTAATTTTAATTAATGGCCTGTGCACGTTTGGCCATTAGCGCCACTATTTAATTTATTGCCATTTCCACTTGCCATTTCTTCTGAATTGGTCTTCTTTGAAGTTCATTAATTTAAATATTACTTACGACTACGAGATTTATTATAATACCTAAGGATGATGTTATACTTAACAGTTTACAGCATACTTTTTATGACGTCATTATGCAAAAATAGTTATTATTATAGAATATGCATATACTTAAATATGATTAAATTATTTCGTTAAAATACTAACAAATCCTGATAAAAAAAGTTTTGATATTACTAGCTATTAACTAGTTTTAGACATTTCTACATCTTATAAGTTAAATTTATAGGCATTATTTATAAAAAAGAAAACTAAAAGTTCTCGAAACATATACATTGTAAAAAGTGAGATAAACATTTTTTCAATAAACGCAGTTTATTCCACAACGACAATATCGCAGTTTGTATTTCAATGACTACTTACTTAACTTAATTACTAAACTCGATATACATATAACTTAAAAACGGAACTCTAAAGAACAAAATGATTAATTTACATTTATATTAACAAACCTACTACAAATGCATCATATTATATTTAACTATTAGAACGGTAGGACAATGCCGTGGTTACTTATAATTTTTACATTGTGCTGTGTCTATATATATTTGTCTATAAAAATGTACCCTGGGGATATGCCAGTATATCCCGGCCGGGTACCAATTTTGGGAAACATCTCTTTGCTCTTGGGGGATTCAATTGGTATGTCTTTTATATAAATTTTTGATTAATAAAATGGATAGAACAGTTTTTGTTAAACGTGTGTGTACTTATGTACACGCGTTAGAAGTTATACTTCTTTGGCATAAAAACATAAAAATATTTTTAAAATTTTTATCGCCTTATTCTACCTTTGTAGAAAAATCGACACAAACAATAGAAAAAATTTACTCACATTTAATTTTTTTTCATCTCATCTCATTTTTCCTTAACGCGCCAAAAAATCTCAAACGCTGACTATAGCTAACTTGCTTAACAGCGTGTCGGTTTGTGACGGTATGCGGGTGTCGGTTTTTTGTGACGGTGTCATCGTAAAAATTTACCCTCATATTTTCCCCTAACCCGCCAAAAGAAGAATAACTCCAAAAATAATACTTGTATGGTGATGGAGATGGTATGAACCAATAATTGGCGACGTGTATAAGGTACAGAAAGATTACCTACTACCGCAAACAGTTTTACGTGTTCCGAACCACCTATATGTCTTTCAAGTTATATTTTAAATTATTTATTTAATTTTTTTCAGCTTCATGGCATTACATAAAGAAGTTGACTGAATACACATACAATAATGGACATGTTTCCGTTGTTTACGCAGGAATTATGCCAATTTATCGTAAGTATTATAATTTAGACCTTTTAACGGACTTATTTTAAGTTTATACGCGATAGTTTTTAGATATTTGTTATAAATAATGAATGAAATACACTCACAATTTCTTTTATTCAAACAAGTATGTAAACGATAACTATATAGGTACTGTAACTGTAGATCAAATGTTTATTCAATTAATAATTAATATGTACGTATGTTATGTTATTTAAACAAATTATTACTTATTAGTCGACTCATTCATATAATTTTTCAGTTATTACGGATCCGGACGATTGCTACAAGGTGCTGACGACGTGCTTAGAAAGGCCTGGCTTTGCGAATAAGTTTCTAAAACAATTCCTTGGTAACGGTCTACTGACTGGACCAGGTATGTCACCAGTATAAAACCGAAAGTCTATTTTAAATTATCCTCGCACTTATAGAAAACTTCACCAAAAAATCTCGGGCCCAGTTTGTGTGTTCGTTTCATTCATATTTTTTTAACAGGTTGTAGTTATCTACTTGATTGTATTCTATTTTTATTCAATAAATAGATGGATTATTTTAAGTATGAAAACATATCCGTCAACAGTGTATTTAAAATAAAAAATCATCATCAATCAAATATTGTAATGTCTAATCATCTGTATTAACTAATACATTATAAATGAGCAATAGGGATACCTATTGCTCATTAACATCAGGGCATTAATGACGATGATGTTCTTTTAATGTCCTTATTGTACTCTCTATACTTCTTTCGTATGCAATGCAGAAGTGCACTATCGGAATATTACGATAAATATTGTTCAATGTTAATTAGAACAGTATTTTACAAACCAAGCCGAATGCGGGATATTTATAAGACGAACACTGATAAAACTTTACAATTATTCAACAATTATTTATATTTATAGAGGCAATTTGGAAGCAACACCGTAAGTTAATAAACCCAGCCTTCAATCAACAAGTAGTGGATAGCTTTATGGGAATTTTTAATGCTCAGAGTCGACGTTTGGTTGAAACATTGAAAAACCACGTGGGCAAGGGACAATTCGACCATCATGACTATTTGGAGAAAACCGGCTTGGAGACTATTTCTTGTTAGTATAGTAACTAAGTAATAACACTGTATGTTGAAGTTTAAGCGAAGTAGGATTTTGGTTTATTTGACTGTTTTAAACCGAAATATATTTTGTAGACTTGTAGGTCTGTTCATTTTCTGTGGTCGAAACATCAAATGTGACACGTTATGACCTATATATTATGTTACTTGTTTAGATATATTCAATGTATCATATAATAAATACATATATTACCACATATTAAAATAGATCAAAAACTCGATTTTCCTAATTTAACTTCGATAGGTTTTCAACGCTCGGCCAAATTAAGTACACCATCAAAATAAATTTCAAACATATGCAGAATAATCACATATAATTTTATAATAACTACGTTTTAATATAAGGTTGCGTTACATTTAAGATAAAATTTTATTTCTTCAATTAGGCTATATTTGTTTCGTACAGTAACAATGGCAGGAGTAGACATTAGCAATCAGAAAGAGTTCAACTACAAATGTCTTTTGGCATTCCGTGCTGTCGTCGACGGCGTCATAGCGAGAGCCAAAAACCCACTCTACTACTTCGATAATATCTACAGAACGTCAGAATTGAAGAAAACAGAAGACACCCATGTCAAAATAACTCATGAGTTAACTGAACAGGTCAGATACACCGGTATTAGAATTTTAAAGTTTTGCAAAATATATGGAAACATTCATTATATAAATATTTGTACGTATAAACTTCGGATTGATTTAATGTGACGTTCTAATAACAGTTTAATATGACCACTTATTAACACTTCGTCCATTAATAGTACTTATAAAAACAGATAACATTATTAATGAGGCAACGGGTGTTCTTACCGCAATCAAGCGATCTCTTTATGGAAAAAAAAGTAATAGACCAGCAATGTTGGTATAAAAATAAATATTGAATTTTCTGGCAAAAGTTAAATAAAGTGATTTCATTTTTTCTTGTGTCCCCGTCATTTCGACATAAAGTGTAGAAGTAACCGCTTTGCGTGCTTTCGAGACACGGGGGTGTTCAGACACCGCTAAATTTCTTATTTTGGGGCTACCGCTGAACTTCTATTAGCAAAATAAAATTGGCGTCTTGTTTTACACGACCCGGGATTTCGACTCCTCCACATCTGTAGTTAAACGTACACTGGACTAATGGAACTGGAACAATTCTATATTTTGTTTAGGATTTAGTTTGGTATCGTTAGAATTAAAGTGTATTATCTGTTGTGTGTTTATAAGTAGAATAAACTTTAGAGTAAAATTTTAATTTTTACTATATATATCGTAATACTACATTTTATATTTATATAATCGTTTTTTTCTAGCTGGAAGTTATTTTTCTTTAAAATATGTTATATTTACAGGTCTTGAAAAAAAAGCGTGAGACCAGAGAGAAAAACGAAGAATAATAAAGAATGTTCAGGTAAGATTTAAGAAACAATATAAATACCTAATAGTAAAATATTACGATAGATTTAATTATTTATTATTAACCCGGCTCTTAAATTGTATGTTAATCAATATATTAATAAATAATGTAAATTAATCCCGAGATTTCTGAATCTTCTAAGAAATTCCATATATTGACCGAAGGACCGAATGATCAGGTAAATGATTTTCAATAATTAATTGTTTCAGAAAAAAAATTCAAGCCATTCCTAGATCGCTTGCTGGATTTTAGTAATACCCTATTAAGCGACAATGATATTAAAGACGAAATGAATAATATTATGTTTGCGGGTTCCCAATCCAGCTCGGCAGTTCTTGCTTATACGTTGTTAATTCTAGGTACATACCCCCGTATACTAGAGAAATGTCAACAAGAGTAAGTACCTATATTAATTAAATATTTAACTAAAAATGCCTCAGGTGGCCGCATTGGTTCGTTAACGTGTGCTGTTAAATTTTCTATAGTTTATTACCGAATCAGATGTTTGGATCTTATACCTAAGGTCTAGAAACATTTCAGCCAAATAGAAAATTGCAAATGTATGTACCTACCGCAGGCATTAAGATCCATTTACGAAACCGCGACTGAAAGAATTATGTATATTGTTCATGTTTATTAATAAGATATAGATAAGAGTAGCGTTGAACAGTAATTATGCCGTACCTACAAGTATGCTAATAGTCCGGGAGGAAGCGCTATAGTTGAGCGAATCATTTTATATCGGCTGATAACATAATAGTTTTCCTCTAACACATAACAGCTTCAATAGCGGTGGATGTAAAGAAGACAGCATACAAATAGGAAAAAATGACCGATGATTTTAATACCGAACAATAATGTATTGCGTAGAACCTCATACGGCCTAAATCAAGGGTAAACATTATTTTTTTCTTTTAAGAATTCGTGACATATTCGGCGAATCCGATAGAGATGTGGAGAAAGAAGACTTGACCAACTTGAAGTATATAGATGCAGTTCTAAAAGAGACGATTCGACAGTGTCCGGTAGCACCATTCACTGGCCGTTTAATTACTGAAGACATTCAACTTAGTACGCATAAGTTTTGTGAACGTAGCTATTATTTTGAGGTGGTATACGTAGATACAAAATGCAAACAAACCTTGAGATCATGTCTCAAAATCACGTAAACACAATTATGAGAGATTTTGGAATCATTTATTTTCCCTACTAAAAATAATAATAAACGAATAATCTAATAATAGCTATGCCTAATAGGACTACGAAGTAATCTTGTGAAGCTGGAGCTTTGGCTAGAGATGATATTTTATTGGTATTTACATATTTTCCAGAAAACACAGTCCTTCGTAAAGGGTATCCATGCGCTATTCTATTATACGGCATACTTAATAATCCAGCTATATGGGGTAAAGATGCTAGTGAATTTATACCAGAAAGGTGGTTGGAAGGGAGACTTCCAGAAAATTCAAACGCTTTAGGCGCCTTTGGTTTTGGAAGAAGAAATTGTGTTGGTAAGATGTTTTGTCTATTTTCACAAATCAAACAAAATTTATCAAATTGTACATATTTATATACCTATAGGAACTAGCATTAAATTTGGTTTTTTGTTTCAGCTAAAGTATATGCCTTTACTACAATGAAGGTATCCCTGGTGCATATTCTACGTAGGTATAAGATGACAGGAAATTTTTTCAACATGAAATTGAAGAACCAAGTTATTAATAAGCCAGCTGGCGGACACGAAATTAGCATCGAATTCGCCTAAAATGTCTTAATAATCGATTAGATAAATGCCGATGACGTAATTGAATTACTAACCGAAGAAAACTTAACTTCATACCTCATTGACATTTTAAGTACGAAAAAAATACGTTTAAGTATTTTTTGTTTTAGCTTAGATTTGAATTTATTTGGTTGCGAAGAGGACACCCGTTGCCTCACTAATAATTTATGTTATCTGTTTTTATATGTACCTACTATTAATGTACGAAGCGTTAATAAGTGGTCATATTAAACTGTTATTAGAACGTCACATTAAATAAATTATAAACTAAAATATAAAGTAGGTTTTTTAATACTTTTTCGTTTTTTTTTTATTAAATACAAGTAGACTCGGCCAAGCGTTGCTGTGGCTAAGATTTTTGTTATATTACATAGTAGTAAACTATTCACGAGAAACGGCAGGAGAACACCAATCCACCATGCTTTTTTGGTGATTATGCCATTAAATTGTAGCTTATGTGAAACGTTGGTGATTTTTATTTTGATAACGATCAATACCTAGGTACGAATAAAGAGCCTTTTCTAACGGTGGTGGTGGTATTTTAATAAAAAAAAATTAATAAAAGGACGCTTATTGTGACGTAACTATAAAAGATAGAGACATGCTGTCGTGACGTTTTTTATAGATAGTGATGTGTCCTGAAAAATTGTAATACATCATTTTGTTCTATCATTAATAGTTTTCGCAGCGCACACGATTGAAGTAAGTCTTTTGTTTATTTTTTTACACCTTGGGTTGGATTATTCAAGTTTTAGTAAGCATCCCTAATTTTTTTGAAAATGAAAAATAGCCTATGTCACTCGGGAATAGTGTAGCTTGCCAACGGTGAAAGAATTTTTGAAATCGGTCCAGTAGTTTCGGAGCCTATTCATTTCAAACAAACAAAAAATCAAACCTTTCCTCTTTATAATATTAGTATAGAAAATAACTGCAACAGGGTAAAATAAAAGCATTTTAAAATATTGTAACTACTACTAAACTGTTATATATAATAAAATAGTTATTTATTATAATAATAATGAAAAAATATTACGCCGCTGTTTAACTAGCGGCCTGAAAGATGTTCAGCCAGTTGATAAAACAGCTAGGCAAATGACTTAGATCTATGACCTTTCATTACTTGCCTAGCCTGTTGAATGTTAGTGCCCTGCCTCACCGGGACGCCATGGCCACGTCGCCGGCTACGTATCCAAACAATTAGTATTCACATGTATGGCATCTCACTCACTTGGCGACGGTTTGGCAACGTCGCCAATTTGGAAGCGTAGCCACGACGACGGGTCACTTGGGTGGAGACTGGCTACTTGGCAGCCTGGCGACATCGCCAACAAAATGTATGCGAGCAAGTTGCGTCTCACTCACTGGGTAGCCAATGATCCGCCAAGCAAGACGCCAAATTCGCGCTCATTGCAATAAAATAGCGAAAAATTAGTTTCGATACTGAGAGATTTATCGTAGAAATTCAGAATCGTCCCTGTTTATGGGATGCCTCGTCATCTGAGAATTCTGATCGTTATATGAAAATTAAATGTTGTGACGAAATAGTAGATATTATCTTTAAAGAATCAGATAATCCTATTCCACCATGCCTCCTCTTTGTTTTTAATTTATATAATTATTATTAATTACTTAAGATGTCATGTGCAACATGGTTTAATGGTTGCAGCTCCTTACAAACGTTGTGTAAAACAAAAACATGGCGATTAAAAAGAGTGGCGGAGAGTTTATTGCCAGTTCTTCTCTTCCGTTCTACGCCCTTGATTTGAGAACTGGCACTAAATGTAAAATTAAAAGCATTAATATACAGTATTTCTTTACTGACAAGTCATAAGTGTACAATGTGTTACCTATATGAAACGAAACTCTTCAAACTGTCAATATGGCGTCGGCGTATAAAATAGTAAAAACTTTTAAGGCATTTTTTTATATCGAATATTGAAGGCTTTTATTTTGAGTTAATTTAGAGTTTAGGAAGTGTAATATAAAGAAATTATTAAAAGTCGACGGAGATAAGAAAAAAGATGACAATCCTCTTCTACGGACTTTGAAGATGTCGAGTTTATAATTTTCTATAAATTAACGAATAGTATTTATTATAATTAAACTTTTCCTTATTATGTTCGTGAATTGTTTTATTCACCTATGATGTTAAGTTTCTTTAAATAAATTATACATTTGGAAAACATGTACCTACCTATATATTTTCCAAATTTATAATATGAAAACAACTTTTTGGGGGTTTTTTTTTAGCGGGGGGTTTTTTTTTTTTTTTTTTTTTTCCCCCCCCTTTTTTTTTTTTTTTTTTTTTTCCTTTTTTTTTTTTTTTTTTTTTTTTCTTTTTTTTTTTTTTTTTCCTTCCCCCCCCCCCCCCTCGGGTTTTGTTTTTTTTTTTTTTTTTTTTTTTTTTTTTTTTTTTTTTTTTTTTTTTTTTTTTTTTTTTTTTTTTTTTTTTTTTTTTTTTTTTTTTTTTTTTTTTTTTTTT